ATATTTTCCGGCTTAGTCTATTGTTTCAGCAGGTTGTTTTTCTTTGTAACTATCATGTATGTGCACGTGCCGAGGTTGGACGATTCGATTTGGACGAGAGGGGAGTAGGCCTTGGTTCAGGATTTATAGGTAACGGCTACTGCCAAACTCTGCGAAATATATTACTTGACACATACCATTTTATGTTTATTTTAGCCCCTTCATATCGAGTACGTAGGTGTGTCACTCCCTTTCGTGCAATGTACGAGGGGTGGAAGAACTAGCTCCGAGTCCACGAAGGATGTACAGTACGCACGTCACAGTTTACAAGTATTAAGTACAATACTTTCCATCCTTACAGGCTGCATCTGAATCAAATACACAACCAGGCAGCATATATCTGCAGCATCAAAGTGACAAGGTATTCTTCTTTGATGAAACTGCGATTATTGACATTATGGAAATGATGATGACGTCATTTCCAGTGTGGAAGACATTTAACTATACCAGGAGGGAGCCTTCGACACCGGTGGGGTTCAGGCAGAAGTGTGGGTACCTTGGAGGGATTGATTTGGAAAATATATACCACTCAACTCCAGTGACGGATCGCCCCCTCTTTAATTTGTTACTTCTGTTTGTGGTAGGCTTTTGGGTGGACTCCCACCCCCAACTTGAAGTTACAAATGGCCCAAGTGGAACACCCTTTTTCTAAATCCTGGATCGGCCCCTTTAACGCCGTCCATCCTGGATCGGCCCCTTTAACGCCGTCCATCCTGGATCGGCCCCTTTAACGCCGTCCATCCTTGTGAGGCTCACAACGTGTCAGTCTCCTCTCATACAGTCCCTGGTGAAGGTCACTGGCAGAAACCTCTGATCTGGAGTGCATGCGTGAGTGCGTGCGTGCGTACGTGCATGCGTGCGTGAGTGCGTGCGTGAGTGAGTGAATGAGTGAGTGAGTGAGTGAGTGAGTGAGTGAGTGAGTGGTGGTGGTGGTGTGGTCAAATTGTTCTTAAGACTGTTTGATAGACTCCCAACGCACGTTTTACGTATCATTTTCAAGGCACCCCTGCATGTGTACTGTAACCTTTGTTAGTTGAAAGAAGGAAACGTAGAACTTTGTCATTTTGTCATGCATACACCTCCCCCCCCCCGAAAAAAAAGAAAAGAAAAAGGCGATCTTAACAGGTCGCATTCAGCAATATTCAAACAACATCAAGTCGGAAATGTACAGAGTACCCATGTGGGAAAGCATATACGGGGAGGTTACCCACTCCCCTCTGTTGATGCTGACATCACTGCTGAGGACTTGCGGCTGTTCTCTCCATTGCCGCAATAGGCTTGAAACACTGCACCCGAATACACCACATACGAAACAAGAGTCTCAGTCAGTAGTGTTTATTCAGTGTAATGACGTCAAGCCTGTACAACAACATTATACTCAGAACAGGTTATTAGTCACGGTATACATTAAAGAACACAATAGTAATAATGAGACAGCAATACTGCAGACCCGTGAAGATCTGGGTTAGAATAGTTCTTCAGCAACCCATTCTAAAGAGGCGACTATCGGGATCGGGTTGACAGACTCGCTGACTTGGTTGATTGTATCCCAACTGCGTGGATCGATGCTCATGATATCAATCACTAGATTGTCTGGTCCAGACTCGATTATTTACAGACCGCCGTCATACAGCTGGAATATTGCTGAGTGTGGCGTTAAACGACAAACAACCACACAAAGTACTACTGTACCCACCTGCTACAGCCATACAGTGAATACGTTGCAGATATATTTCGACTTATTAAAGGGAGATACAAATCATAAACCTGATGCAAATATGACATATGTACATAAAGGCGGGTGTCATAAAATGTTATCATACAATCTTCGCACATCGATCAGTTTGGACAGTAGTAACAAGAGGAACAGCAGGTACGTGGGTACGGGTGGTACAGTCGCAGAGTGGCGTCCTCGGTGTCAGAGGCCAATGATCGTGGGTTCACCTGCACCACTTTGAGCGCTCCTCCCACATTAACAACCCTGGTACACTAATCCGCAATTTTGGCACCTAAGATGACTGCGCCGTTCCCCCTTTGTCCAAGAAGAATATATAATTCATGGAATACTGGGTGAAAACGTGAAAACGAAAGAGATGTTCAGGTTTCAAATTGACATTTTGAGAACATCGGTCCATGTAAACATGTTCAACTGATGTGTAGCGGAAGGTAAATAAGTGTATCATATGATGGATAGTGTTATCTGATAAACTTGGTGGCGCGACCGATCAATATGCAAATAAGGTCACAAAGAAGGAAATGTACATAGATACAATGTCTGCTTGCTCAGTAAACTGTTGACTAAGGTTCCGATACGCTTAGCTACAGCATTTCTGATGTGTGGGGGATTGTGTTGACGAAAATGGCCGCAAATAGTTTGGCACTATAATAAGTGGGGCAATTCACACACACACACACGCACGCACGCACGCACGCACACACACACACACACACACACATACACGCGCGCGCACACACACACACACACACACACACACACACACACACACACACACACACACACACACACACACACTCACACACACACACACACAGACATACACTGACACGCACACGCACGCACACACACACACACTCATACACGCACGCACGCACGCACGCACGCACACACACACACACACACACACACATACACGCACGCACACACACACACACACACACACACACACACACACACACACACATACACGCACACGCAAGCACACGTGCAAGCACACACACGAATAGTAAATATCAGTTTTTAGAAATAAGAAAAAAATGTTTTATACTTGCCACAGGGCTCCGCATAATACAGTTCTGTCCATTAATATATAACATTTTCTGTCCATTAATATATAATATTTTCCTCACACGACGAGGACGAGAAGAATGAGACTTGGTACCATGGAAAGGAATATGAAACCTTACACAACTCATGTCATACTATAGGTGTGCATTGTTACAGGGACATGACAGGGCCTCTGTGATCTCTGAGTGTACACTCATGTCATACAATAGGTATGCATTGTTACAGGGACATGACAGGGCCTCTGTGATCTCTGAATGTACACTCATGTCATACAATAGGTGTGCATTGTTACAGGGACATGACAGGGCCTCTGTGATCTCTAAATGTACACCCATGTCATACTATAGGTGTGCATTGTTACAGGGACATGACAGGGCCTCTGTGATCTCTAAATGTACACCCATGTCATACTATAGGTGTGTATTGTTACAGGGACATGACAGGGCCTCTGTGATCTCTGAATGTACACCCATGTCATACTATAGGTGTGTATTGTTACAGGGACATGACAGGGCCTCTGTGATCTCTGAATGTACACCCATGTCATACTATAGGTGTGTATTGTTACAGGGACATGACAGGGCCTCTGTGATCTCTAAATGTACACCCATGTAATACTATAGGTGTGTATTGTTAAAGGGACATGACAGGGCCTCTGTGATCTCTGAATGTACACCCATGTCATACTATAGGTGTGTATTGTTACAGGGACATGACAGGGCCTCTGTGATCTCTAAATGTACACCCATGTCATACTATAGGTGTGTATTGTTACAGGGACATGACAGGGCCTCTGTGATCTCTGAATGTACACCCATGTCATACTATAGGTGTGTATTGTTACAGGGACATGACAGGGCCTCTGTGATCTCTGAATGTACACCCATGTCATACTATAGGTGTGTATTGTTACAGGGACATGACAGGGCCTCTGTGATCTCTGAATGTACACCCATGTCATACTCTAGGTGTGCATTGTTACAAGGATATGACAGGGCCTCTGTGATCTCTGAATGTACACCCATGTCATACTATAGGTGTGTATTGTTACAGGGACATGACAGGGCCTCTGTGATCTCTAAATGTACACCCATGTCATACTATAGGTGTGCATTGTTACAGGGACATGACAGGGCCTCTGTGATCTCTGAATGTACACCCATGTCATACTATAGGTGTGCATTGTTACAGGGACATGACAGGGCCTCTGTGATCTCTGAATGTACACTCATGTCATACAATAGGTGTGCATTGTTACAGGGACATGACAGGGCCTCTGTGATCTCTGAATGTAGACCCATGTCATACTATAGGTGTGCATTGTTACAGGGACATGACAGGGCCTCTGTGATCTCTGAATGTACACCCATGTCATACTATAGGTGTGCATTGTTAGAGGGACATGACAGGGCCTCTGTGATCTCTGAGTGTAAAACATGGAGGAATGTACACACTATTGCTAACTACCAAGCACCTCCACCAGTACAGCATTCTTTGGTGATTCATCACTTTACATAAAATGACCACCTTTCTAGTAATTCTATCTATATTAAAATATAATAACTATTGTCCAGTCATTTCAGAAACTGGCCAAACTGACATTTGGAGCGATGTTAGAATTAATATGCACAAAATAGCTCTCAACTGGATATTAAGGAAGCAATTGACGATTAAATACAAGAGAGAATTATTTTTTTGATTGATTTTTGGTTTCACAAAAAGTAGCTCAGACAGGAAGAATTTGTTTACACAATACCTTTCATATGCCGTTGCAACGGTTTCCTTTTTTATAAAGAAAACGTATCAATATTTCCTTATCCATATGTATTTCCAGACATCACTGTGAAGTCATCACCCAAATCAAAGGCCTTCATAAAATCTAGGAAGGAAAATATTTATTTACTTGTTTTCGTCAGGACGACACACACACACGCACGCACGCACGCTCGCACGCACGCACGCACGCACGCACAGACACACAGACACACGCACGCACACACGCACGCACACACACATACACACACATACACGCACGCACACACACACAGACAGACAGACACACACACATACACACACACGCACGCACACACGCACGCACGCACGCACACACACAGAGACACGCACGCACGCACACACATATGCACACACACACGCACACACACACGCACACACACACACACACACAGACACGCACACACACATACACACACACACATTGCTTAGACCATTACAGTCTGCCCTAGACCATTACAGCCTACCTTAGACGATTACAGCCTGCCTTAGACCATTACAGTCTGCCTTAGTTCATTACAGTCTGCCTTAGACCATTACAGCCTGCCTTAGACCATTACAGTCTGCCTTAGACCATTACAGCCTGCGCGCATGCCTTAGACCATTACAGTCTGCCTTAGTTCATTACAGTCTGCCTTAGACTATTACAGCCTGCCTCAGACCATTACAGCCTGCCCCAGATCATTACATCCTGTCCTAGACCATTACAGCCTGCCCTAGATCATTACAGCCTGCCCTAGATCATTAAAGCCTGCCTTAGATAATTAAGTCTGCCCTAGACCATTACAGCCTGCCTCAGACCATTACAGTCTGCTTTAGATCATTACCGCCTGTCCTAGACCATTAGAGCCCACCTTAGACCATTACAGCCTACCTTAGTCCATTGCAGCCTACCTTAGCCCAATACAGCCTGCCTTGGACCTTTATAGTCTACCTTAGACCATTGCAGCCTGCCGTAGACCATTACAGCCTAACGTAGACCATTACAGACTGCCTTAGACCATAACAGCCTACCTTAGACCTTTACAGTCTACCTTAGACATTTACAGCCTGCCTTAGACCATAACAGCCTAACGTAGAACAATACAACCTGCCATAATAGCCTACCTTTAAAGTCTACCTTATACAATTACAGCCTATCTTTGGACAATTACAGCATACCTTAGCCAAATACAGTCTGCCCTGGACATTACAACCTGCCTTAGACCATTACAGCCTAACATGGACCACTACCGTCTGCCTTAGACCAATACAGTCTACTTTAGACCTTTACAGTCTCCTTTATACCATTACAGCCTATCTTAGACCAATACAGCCTGCCTCAGACCATAATAGCCTAGCTTAGACCTTTACAGTCTACCTTATACAATTACACCATGCCTTGGTCATTGCAACCTGCCTTAGACCATGACAGCCTAACGTGGACCACTACCGGCTCCCTTAGACCAATACAGCCTACCTTAGACCATTACAGCCTGTCCTAGACCAATACTGCCTGACCTAGACCATTACAACCTGCCTTAGACCATTACAGTCTGCCTTGGACCAGAACAGCCTGTCTTAGACCATTACAACCTATCGTAGACCATTACAGTTGATCTTAGACCAATACAGCCTACCAAACACCACTACAGCCTACCTTAGACCAATACAGTCTAACTTAGACAAACATAACCTGCCTTAGACCATAACATCCCGACATAGACCATTTCAGTTTGCCTTAGACCACTACAGCCTGCCATTAGACCAATATTGTGTAACCATGACCATTACAGCTTACATTATACCATTACAGCCTAACGTAGATCTTCACAGCCTGCTTTAGACCATTACAGCCTGCCTTAGACCAATACAGGCTGCCTTAGACCAATACAGCCTGCCTTAGACCATAACATCCCACCGTAGACCAATGCAGTCTGCCTTAGACCATTACAGCCTACCTAAGACCATTATAGCCAGCCTGAGACTCACTACGGCCTACGTTATACCATTACAGCCTAACGTAGATCATTACAGCCTGCCTTAGGTCATTATAGCCTGCCCTAGACCACTACAGTCTGCCTTAGACCATTACATCCCACCTTAGACCACTACAGCCTGCCTTAGACCATTACATCCCACCTTAGACCACTACAGCCTGCCTTAGACCATTACATCCCACCTTAGACCAATACAACCTGCCCTAGACCATTACAGTCCACCTTAGACCAATACTGAATACTTCTGAAGAATACAACAAGCTTCAGGGTAATATGACAGACCTTCCACCTCTGCAAAGTCCCATATGACCAAAGTCATGTTATTATACAATATTACATTGAATAATGATGAATTATGTTTAATTCTTGACAGCCTACGGGCCCTTCACATTTCTCCATTACGTCCACACACAATTACGAAAAATGTACGAAAGACATGTGACCAAAAAGTGACAGAAAGAATATTAGGGGTCCTTTGCAACTTGCTCTCCTTGTCACGTGGTGATAGACACAACTAGGTCGCCTTGTCACGTGGGGAAAGACACAAGTAGGTCTCCTTGTCACGTGGGGAAAGACACAAGTAGGTCCCCTTGTCACGTGGGGATAGACACAACTTGCTCTCCTTGTCACGTGGGGATAGACACAGTGAGGTCGCCTTGTCATGTGGAGATAGACACAAGTAGCTCTCCTAGTCAAGTGGAGATAAGTACCTCACGGATGATCTCGGACGAGGAACACGCGCGCCCTCCTTCAGCTCAGTGTATGGCTGGGAGTCTCGTACTGATTTGTCCTTATCGTTCCGTTCCCCTTGGAAGCAGTCTGCTAAAACAGGAATGTCTGGAGCCTTCTCTCTGCCGGAGCCGTCTTGGTTCTGGTCTGGTTGCATAACATCTTCCTCTCTGATGTCCTCGTAGTGGTGGAGCTCCAGGTAGTCATTGATGGGGACGTCTGCCTGCTCCAGCTTAGCGTCCAGCATCTTGTCATCAGATCCATTCCTGCAACAAATGTCCCCCTGTTTCATTAGCAGGACTAGACTAGACTATCTCTTCAAAATGAAATCATGAAATGCGGTTATTTGAAAGGTTCATGAAGTTAAGATGTCAAATATAACTCCATTACAATTACAATAAAACTATCATGACAATTGTTGACAGGGTAATGTAAGGTTGCGTAAAGTAGTTTTGTCAGTTACACTGCTGAACATTTTCTTTCTTCCTATTTCATCTACCTTTATTTAATATGATACTGTAAAGCTAAGAACAGTTATCAGGAGGAATCCCACCATAATCGGATTCTGATACGACTAAGGGACACAACTCTACTGAGTGTCAAACGTCATCATAACAGGTCAGTGAAAGCACTGCTTCATCACACTACTATTGTGGATGTCTACTGACCGTCTCAGACACATTCCTTTACGATAGCAGATGTAGCTTGCGGTACATGCAGCCAGGATGATGAAGACAACCACCACGACCGAGGTCACTGTGACTGTGTTGGAGGCGCCTGCCGTCGCGTCATCTGAAGGGGAAGCAATGGGTACATGTAGGTATTTATTATTATTATTATTATTATTATTTTATATATATTTTTTTCAGATTAACATAAATAAATGCAGCAAAGAAGGTTTGGGTGATCCTGGAACAGACAGGATGGTTAGGCTTTTGACGGCTGCCTAGTCGAATCCACCAAGAACCTTTCGGAGAATGTGAATACTCCCCAACACTGCAGCCTTCTGCATTACCCAGATTGTCAGAAGGGCTGCATTCCTGGCAACAAACCCGGGTACTCTCCCATTGTCAGTCCACAGATTTGGAAGAACCAAACCTAAGGCACCGAGAACAATAGGGGTCTGAGGCGGTACTCGGGGCTATTCCAAATCCTTTCATAATTAATATGTTCCATGACGCCCTTTACATATTCTGGGTCGATGGACCCCTGTGGAAAAACCCTAAGCATGGTAAAGACGATAATAAAAAGATCGAGCCACTCCATCATATCACTTAAGGTACTGTGTTTGTGCCAGAGCTGGACATCCACCGACAATATGTTGGACAGTCACATTATAATTAATGTACTATCATATATACTCCCTAGTATGAGGTAAGAGAAGTGTGGACCTTGTCGACATTTATAAGGGGACTTGAATATGTTGACTGAGGAATTGAGAATATCTTGCTCATATTTAAAACCGATTTACAACTTGACATATCTGTTTTTCTACGACTGAAGATGTGTACCTGCGTGACAAGATCCAGAAGGGCAGTCGGGCTTTTGGCAGTTGGTTGTGCAGTTGTCGCCACATCCAGATCCAGTTGTATTGCATCCCTGTACACAGACACCGGAGTTCTCATCACAAACACCTCCAGGACATAGATCACACGTCGTGTTGCAATTATCCCTGATATTGCATCCATTCATACAGGATCCGTTACAAGTTTTATTGAGGCATTTCCCACAGCGTTCAACACAAACACCCGCGTGGTTACACCTTTGATGGGTGCAGTTAGAGTTGCATCGCCTTGAACACTTCGGGCCGTACCAGCCATCTACACAACCGTGAACACACTCGCCAGTCTGGCTGTGGCACTCAGGGGTACATGAGTCTCCCTCAGGACATCGTTCATCAGTAGACAGGGAGGGATCAGCTCGACAGGTGTCACTGCATGCTTCATTACAGTTGTCTCCATAGAATCCTTGTCTGCATCCCTGTTGGCAGCCACTCTCACATCCACCGACACAGTGCTCACACGAGGATCTACAGTCCAGTCCAGAATATGGAGGCTGACACTCCTCACATGTTCCTGTGATCCTGTTGCAGGACTTACATCTGCTGGAACACGTCCTACATCCAGCTCCGTAGTATGAGTCGCTGCATCCAGAGAAACAAGTTCCACCCATCTGGCAATACTCCCCATCACATCCACCTGGGCATCTGGTACAGTTGCCACGGTTAAGGTAACATGGCCTCTGGCAGTTTGGGCCTTGGAATCCTGGTATGCAGCCATCAGTACATCTCCCAATACCCCTGTCGAGGTGCAGCTCACATGTGCGGTACCTGCACCTTCTGCTGCAAACATCCATGCACTTCGGGCCGAAATATCCTCTATAGCAGTTGGTGCTGCATCGACCTCTCTGCTCCTTACACTCGGAGCATTGCTGGTTATCAGAACATTTACCACCTGAGAATGAAAACATGGTTGTCTTAATATTCCTGTTGTGCTCATTTGGGACACGGTGGCCTAGTCGTCTGAGGCATCGCAACTCGCTTTGCAGAGTTGGGTCTCTTGGGCGCGCCAGAAACCTATGATTGTGATAACAGTTTTACCAACAGAGCACGTTTGATACTAATGGGTACAAACTTTATAACTGTGGTATTCACAAACTAACAGAGGTGGGGAAGAATTATGGAACGTAACACACAGATAGGTTCTGAATCATAGTCAAACAAACAATTTCTAACCATATCAAACGGGCATATCGCCAAATTTGATACCTGCATCACTTTGAGCTTTCCCCAAAGAGCATACTTACACGCCGAGATATAACTAAAATACTGTTCAAAGAGCGTTAAACCTCACTCACTCACTCGCAGCGTCACTGACCTACTGATGACATGACTTAAGATTTAACCCACTCACTCACTCACTCTTACCTTCTGTATAAACGACCATGTAAGCCATTAATAAGATCTGAAGAAATGGCATGGCGACCTGAAAATGTAATAGAAATGTTGATGGCGTGCATATATATGAAGACATTTCAGATAAAACGTCTGTGCAAATACCAAAGTCAAAAATGAAAAACTTACTCTTAATGACCACGGTAACATATCACAACTCTTTCACACGAGCTCCTCGTGCTCAGTGTGGCTGTTTGAAGGCTTCATACTGAATTGGCTGATCTTAGTTTCGCTGTTAAGGTCAAACGTTTGTTTCGTCTTCCTGATGATCAGATCCTATCCATTGAGGGAACAACAAAGCTGTACAGAGAAATGTCAAGGCGACCTGGACCATGTTTCTAATTGTTGATGTACGTGTGAAACTTCTTCCTGGTCCTAACTTCAATAGGCCCTTCTTTCTAGTTTCACCGACTTGGGGTTCCGTGTACAAAACACAACACAATAGTATTCCACCGTCGTATGAAAATATTCCAGTTTTTGAGGGAACAATGATTTTCTCCCCAAACTACGCTAAAGTACGGAAGACCACTAACATTCCAGCACTGATCTTCACGTTGGTAAGCTGTAAGTTTAGCCTTCAAAGGGTCACGAATTTGTTCTGAGCAACATGCCTAGACGTTCGGTGCCTATATTCACTTTTGATATTCTGTTTTGGGAACGTGATAGAAAATAGTGTAGAAATCGTCCTAACAATTGAAGAATTCATGCATTAATTCCTTCTTCTGTCATATTAATACATTGAGTTCCATGCCACTGTTTGATATTTAATATCTATCAAGTTTACGGTACAGTGGTTGTGAGTAATGGCTTTGCTGTAATGTATATACGAGTACTTAAGCAGACTCAAGGAACATGATGCTTACACGGACTTCTTCCAAATGGCTCTGGGAATATCTTGGTACATGGGATGAGAAGGTGGAAAATCAGGAAGGTCGAGAAAATCAATGTAGTCATTATTAAACTTGGTATGTACATTTTATAGGAGGGCCCTGCTTGTTTCGGTCAAGGTCAGCTTTAAATGTCTTGTGAAACACATGGTTTTATTGTTGTCAATGTCTGAGGCAGAGTTACATCCACATCGATGGATGGAAAATTATATTTGCATGTATCTTAACACATTAAATGTCAAGTGCATTTATGTCAATGGTCAAGGTCTCCTTTGAGGTAATTATACAAAAGTAGTTTCATGCTTCTCTTGAATATTGCACAACGACCCCTATGAAATTAGATAATACACTGCAATGGACGTAGGAGACGAGATTTAATGATATAATTTAAGGCGCCGCAATTCGCCATGCAGTGTTGCGTCCATTAGGCGTGCCAGAAAAATAAGATCGTGTGTTCGAATCCCAGATTTATGTTTCAAGGTTTATCAGCTCGTGGGTTTCATTACTTCGGGATTTCCTCCCACATTAAAGTGCCACGACTTCATGCAACATAAAACTGTGGCATGAAATATTGTGGCATAAAAAAACAAATTCTCTCACTACAGTGGCGGTATTCCATATGAACCTGTGACATTCGTTTGCCACATTTCATTAGGTCAAAGGTCAATGTCACGAGACAGAAAAAAAATTCTCATTAGGAAAAGGTGTTGAAGAGGCCCCCACGTGTTTTGGGTCCCTCCGTCCAAAAAAAACCCCAAAAGATGAATTGAAGCAGTCGTTGCCTTGATAAAGGTCAAGGTCTTGAAGTAATATTTTGGATTGCAAGGTTAAAATGTGTGGAGATTTGAGGAAATGGCAGCTGCCTCCCATCCCAAACAACACCATAAAATACCATACCACAACCATACCATACAAGCGAACCCCATTTCATCCCATACAATACCATACCACAACCATACCATACAATCGAATCCCATCCTGTACCACACCATACCGTACCAAACCATGCCAAATCACTACCACATCAATCAATACCAAAGTACAGCATGACAAATGTATAAAATATGTCACAATTGTTATTTTTCTGGTGAATATTTAAAACATCAGAGGTGTTTAATGTAAGTGAAAAGTCTTTTGTCATGTATACAGAAAGTGGTTGTTGAGAACCAGACACCACAACCTTGGAACTTCAGTGAGTGAGTAAGTGAATAAAACAAACTAACTCACTGTTGACAGTTCCCTTGTCAGTGAGCGGCCAGCCATTAGTGCAGCACACGACTCCGTCACTCGGTGTGTCTGCTGTGGGCTGCTCAGGTCAACATTGTACTTTCGATTTCCCTTGCTGAAAGTCATGACGGGATATCTGGTTGTACTTCGAGGGGACGGAAATGCCAACACAAATATACACCAACCTAAGTTAAGCACCGGCTCTATTGTAGAAACTGCATCCGACTCGTGGAAATTACGCGTTAGAATGGGTCTACAGCAACCAATCCTTGAACGAGGCGACTAAGCGGATCAGCTCGGTAACCGTCGTGTAAAAGACTCCACTATGTACAGGCTGCCGTCATACAAACGGAGCGCGGAGTTTAACAACTATCGATTTAATGGTTGTATAAAACACAAATATGTTTTTTACAAAGAGACAAACTTATATTAAAATACAGAAACTGTAACCGATTATCTACTGACCCCTGGGTCGTTCTGAAGTGCCAGTGTTCAACAACTTTTCTGATCTGTGATGCAAGTTTACAAGTCAGCTAACTTCAGAAAAGTCCCATGGTTTTAGCAATATTCCAGCAATGTCACGGAGGGGGACACCAGAAATGGGCTTCACACATTGTACCCATTTGGATATCGAACCCGGGTCTTCGGCGTGACGAGCGAACGCTTTAACCACGGGCTATCCCCATCACAACATTTATACAGGGGAAGAGATAATGTTGTGATCGCTAGCTTTAAAGATAACAATTAAGTCATATCAGTGGCTGGAAGACCGAATGTAACACGTGGCCTAGATACGTCACAGTGGAATTCCCTTTCTGTTCACCCGCACTACATCTTGATCACATGGCTTGTGTCGTAGGAAGAGACTAACGGGATCGGGTGGTCAGGCTCGCTGACATGGTTGATGCATGTCATCGTATCCCAATTGCATGGATCGATGCTCATGATGCCAATCACTGGATTCTCTGATCCAGATTCGATTACTTACAGACCGACGTGATATAGCTTGAATATTGCTGAGTGGGGCGTTAAACAAAAAAATAAATAAAATAGCTTGTACATTTAAATCAATATTCGAGTTGACGCGTGTTTCGTGAAGCCTACTCCCATGAGGTTACAAAATGTCCGCTCCATCCATCACATATTTCTGAGGTTGCTACTTTATTCACCGACACGTGCATTTAACAAAGTCATAGTTTAGCTACTCACGCACTCACGCGTCAAGGGAGGAATGCACGTACGCCTGTATGCACTCACGCGTCAAGGGAGGAATGCACGTGCGCCTGTATGTACTCACGCGTCAAGGGAGGAATGCACGTGCGCCTGTACGCACTCACGCGTCAAGGGAGGAATGCACGTACGCCTGTATGCACTCACGCGTCAAGGGAGGAATGCACGTGCGCCTGTATGCACTCACGCGTCAAGGGAGGAATGCACGTGCGCCTGTATGTACTCACGCGTCAAGGGAGGACTGCACGTGCGCCTGTATGTACTCACGCCCTCACACAATCAGTCATTGATCACAACAGGACCTATTTAAGAAGTATGAAGATAATTGTTTCCTTCCATTGTTTCCTGCTATTACGTTTCCATCTATCTCTGTTGGTATTTGATATCACGTAGATTAGAAGGAACATGTTTTATGAAGTTTAAAGTTTCTCTTTCGATATGAAGCGTTGTTGTCCTGATAAAATATAACAATCTGTTTCAGGAACGAATTCAACCCTGAATAGTACTGCCCGAATGTAGTCAGCATTCTATATAGTGTCAAGTAATATAATCAAGCCATGATATGCCATCGCTTCATCTAAGAAACATCACAACAAACATTGTCTCCATATCGTGTAAACTGATATTATCAAGTATGATCTGCCATCGCTTCATCTTCTAGTTTACATCACAACTACGCTTATATCACAACAAACACTTGGAAGAGTACTGTGGAATAACACGCACCGCCCAGAGGTGTCAGGATCCGCGATTCAAGGGTTCGAATCCAACAATTATTGTTATTCAAGGTGGTACACTTCTCTCTCATCGAGATACAAGTCAGGTGTTGTTCTGAAGGACATCGACAAAGTCATCTATGTGATCTTCTTTGTCTGCATCATACAAAGGTTGCTGTGTAGCCCGGAGGTCAAGCTGTTGGACTTGTTTCAATTCGGGATACTCTCTTGAGTAACATTTCCGGTTAATCGTTAACATTTGGAACAAAAAGAATAAGTACTTTTTCCAGTGTTGACGTTTCAGCACTTTGTTTCACTTTCAGCGATGAGTGGTGTCACGTCGGTACCTTTAGACAAGAAGCAACGCCTGAATGAATGTTGCAAGCCCCAAGCCACTGCGGTTTTCCGAGTTTCGTGTTGTGTTTAATTAATTTATTACTAATTGTCACTTTGAAAAACATAACTACATAAAATATAAACCCTGAAGTCAGTCGATTGTTTAAACAGATGAGGAACTGTATAAACTGGTGAAACCATGACGTCATATTGTGTTATTCTCACCAATGAAGCAATGTGACGTCATATTGTAATATTCTCAACAGTGAAGGAATGTGACGTCATATCAGTTCAACTGACCATTCATTATTGATAATGGCTCACGTGTAATTCATCACATTCAGTCTTGCTATCCTGTGGATAATACTGTTGAACACATAGTGGTCCGGGTGGACTGATCTCGTGTATTACAGGTATAAAGTTGCACTGATAGGGTTCTTACAGATTTAGACCATGAGTACATTCTTCACCAAGTGCATGTCGGGAGCATACATTTGTGACACGTGAAGTAGGGCTATTGTTCGTTTGTTTGTTATTTAACGCCACACTCAGCAATATTCCAGCTATATGACAGCAGTCTGTAAAAATTCGAGTCTGGACCAGACAATCCAGTGATTGACATCATTGGCATCAATCAACACATTTGGGATGCAATAACATGCATCAACCAAGTCAGAGAGTCTGACCACCCGATCCCGTTAGTGGGTTGGTGAAGTCCTATTCTTACCCAGATCTGGGGCTATTGTAACTTGATTGTGTGTTTTATGTTAGAATAAACAATGTCATGTTTTCCACCTTGTTTCAGTTTCACTCAGATGTTGCTACGCTTCCTTGATGTTATAAGCTTTATAATCTTGATATCTGTATTAATGGCAAAGTTGTGTTCAACTTACCCTGAAAGTGAGTGAGTGAGTTATGTTTAACGCAGCTTTTAACAGTATTCCAGTTATATCAAGGGGTGTCAGCTTAATGTTGGAGGAAAGCCCAAAGTGATGCAGGTCTTAGAGATTTACCATTTCGGTGAAACGCGAGCACGGATAGGGTGCAGACAAAACTAGAAACATAATCTGGGCAAACAGGGATTCTAACCCACAATCATAGCTTTCTGGCGTGTCCAAGGGACGTAACTCTGCAAAGCCAATTGCAGCGCCTTAGACGACTGGGCCACTCATGCCCCTTGCCCTGAAAGTCCAGTCTTTGTAAAGGGTATGATGCTTATTGGATCTTTGCTTTCTTTGAATAACCAAGCACATCACGAATAAAGTTCACATTGATTTGGACATATCATAGGCCAATGTTCGACTTACTTCCAGATGTGGTCTACAATGCTGCAGAATACAGGAGCATGTGTCTGTGTGTCTGTGGCACAGAAACTACAACGACTGCTGTCCATGTAGCCTATTGTTGAGGTCAACGTTGGAAGTATAAGATGCACTATTCTATATTGCAAGCATTGCAGTCGATTAACTTAAGTTTATCTGAAAGGGATAACATTGTATTGTAGACAATTATTTGATACAGTATTCTCACCAAGCATATCTCCACATGTTGATGTGTGTTGAATGTTGAATGTTGAATGTTGAATGATGAGTTTACATTGTGTGACATGTCGACTTCCACATTGAAACAATAAGATAATCCATAAACCTATCCCTAAAGTAATTCAGTGTGAAACTAATAAACAACAAAGAAACGATATGCAATCAACAATTATATTACAAAATTAACAAGGTTTACATATCAATACAACTTACTGCGAAGTAATTACATTGGCTATACACAATAGAGTGGCAGTACAATATTCAATGGCAATACAATTATAATGGCAGTGGTAATAATGTTCACCTAGCCACAAAAGTGGTCAAGCTTCCAAACTAGGCCTAGGCTGGATACACAGTGAAAACATTGATCCAAGTCAGCGAGCCTGACCACCTGATCCAGGTAGTCGCCTTTTACGACAAGCATAGTCACCTTTTACGGCAAGCATGGGTTGCTGAAGACCTATTCTATCCCGAATCTTCATGGGTAGACTCGGACTGAGATTCAGAAGGCTCACAGAGAGCGCAAAGACGCCGTCAGAACAGAAACACTACTTGAAGAGAAACTACTCCTGCGTCAAAGTTCTGCCAAGGACTTCAGAAATGTGAAACATATCAAAAGATAACACAATACAATGAGAAACATTATGTAAACAATATATTGTTACGTGTTGACTTTCAAGTTAAAACAATTAGTTAACCCAGATATCAATAGTAAAACCAACAAAAAACAAAGAAATGGTATACAATTAACAACTGAATTATAGAATTTGCTCGGTTTACAAGTCAGTATAGGATGGTATAGATTACTGCAAAGTTTTTACAATGGCTGTACAAAATTCAGTGGGACCATAAAATTCAGTACCAGTGGTAATAATATTCACCAAGCTGCAACGATCGAAAATCTTCCAAAATAGGTCCAGGCTGGATAATCTTCATACAACCGCTGGTCTTGATGTCATGTGAGACGTAATGTGAGATGGGAGAGGCATGCGCTGCCCCATTATACAGTCTACATCCCATCTTGAAGGCTCCATACAGTGCTGGATGAGTCTTGCTGATTCAACATCACACTTGTCTCAAAAAAGCATCTAGGTATAGTAACTTTCTACCACTGCTTACATTGAATAGTACTTCATTCCTGACAACTAATCATTATCAAAACACAGTGCCATAAACTTTTTATGAATCGTAGCATAAACAATACAATACAACATTGTTTAACAATAAATTACACTGCCATGCAACAATAGTCCACATGTGCTCACAGATGAAGTGAGTGTGGCATCATGCACAAATCAAAACATGCCATGATCTTTCAGAATCATGCATGATTCACATATGTGCAAACAGTTTATCATGTTTACTCATAATGCCCCCGAAACTACACGTGGATCTTGGTCTCTGCGTGCCCATGAATAACAAATTTGTCACACATTCACAGGACATGTGGGACCAAGTCAATTCAACAAGTAATTCGTTGAAGTGTTTAGCTGTGTTTAGCTGTGAAAAACAAAGCTATCTTAAAGTGAGTGGTTGTGTGCCACAAAATGTGGTTGCTATGTATTTTGGTGTTTGATTCTGGACTTGGCACGAATAGACTGACAGCACCTGGGATCGAGCACCTTCTAGATGTCCACAAAGTAATGTCATGTTGGCATCATATCCGTCTGGTTCTCCTGGGATATTGGTTTCAGACTGCATCTTTGATATACATCCGATCAGTGCAAGACTGTAAGGAATCAATAATGACAGCTTAGCGTCGTCCACAAGGTCCAGCTGTACAACCAAGGTTTCTTCCACTGGAACTGCATGCCTGGCATGGTCAAGACAACATCTAACGTTCAGGTTATAGGATTGGAGGTTAATCCACTTCAGAGAGTTCTGGTTTCATTGCGACCCGTGTGTTGCTCAATGTTCAGCATTCAGTGGTGGACAAGTAATGTCCATCACAGGACCCCTCTTGTGGTCATTGATGGCAATTTGACAGGTGGATGGTCCCATGACAAAGTCATCTGCCCTCAGAATCCTGCACACCAATGGAGGTCAAATCACTTCACAGCTGGACCATTCATGCCCTCACAATCCCGCAGACCCATGGAGGTCAAATCACTTCACAGCTGGACCATTCACGTCCTCACAATCCCGCAGACCCATGGAGGTCAAATCACTTCACAGCTGGACCATTCACGTCCTCACAATCCCGCAGACCCATGGAGGTCAAATCACTTCACAGCTGGACCATTCATGCCCTCACGTTCCCCTTGTGGTCACTGACTTCTTTGGACAACAGAACATCTACACAATCCCTTGGCCTGCTGGCGCAGTCACTATCAGATGTGAGTCAAGTCAAGTGTTCACCTGAAAATAATGGGAAAATCTGATACAAGTCTAAGGAAGTGTATCACAAGATACCATTTTTGTCACTGATGCGTCAAACTTGGAAATGTCATCCACATGTCTACAATAAAACCTTGAAAGTTTTACCTTGAATGTTGTAACCTTAATCAAACATCTTTTGAGCAAGACTTGCATCACTTCTCTGAAATCTGCATAGAAAGAGCATGCTTGATTGTACCTCCATAGTTGTGACTGTTTCACCATTAATATTCTGAACTTTTGACATAGAGTTGACAAAGAATTATATTACCAGATGCTAAGATTTATATGCTGATCACACATTATCTATATTTACACTTGTTCAACAATTTCCTTAACTGATCATGAGAAGTACCAAAAAAACCCAGATGATAAAAGTCTCACAATGGTTATTTTCTCCTCAAAGATATAAAAAAAATATTCTCACCATAAGCCTGAAATGTTAAGTCACACACAACGTCACTGTAGGTAACAACATGCCTCCTTCAATGTCTGCTCAAACACTACACTCACGTCACTGAGCGCCACGTCACCAGGAGATCCATCAATTTCTGATCTTACCTAGGTCTCGCTGTGTCAACCGCTGTCCTTCCACACTTGTTCCTGGCGTTGATGTCCACCACGTTCAGAGACAGAACAAAATTCACTGTCTCCACGTCTCCTCCCCGACAGGCCCAGTGGAGGATGTTGTCACCGTACCAGTCCACCAGTGACACATCAGCTCCTTCACTCACAAGGACCTCCACCACTTCTCTGTGTCCATTCTGTGACGCTATCATCACTGGTGTTTTCCACCGCCATCCTCCTCTACTGTTGATGTCCAGCACATTCAGAGACAGGACCAACTTTACTGTCTCTATGTCTCCTCCCCGAGAGGCCAAGTGAAGGGTGTTGTCACCGACATCGTCCACCAGGGACACATCAGCCCCTTCACTCACCAGGAGCTCCACCACGTCTCTGTATCCCTTCACTGCGGCGGTCATCACTGGTGTCCTCCCATGCCGATCTCTACAATTGAGGTCAACCTGACCTGCCACCAGGACCCCTCTGACAGCCGCCATATTTCCCCTACAGCAGGCTTCACGCAGGTCATAGTCTGCCCAGGGGTCACCATATGCGGGGATCGGTGTCGCTGTAACACAAAGTAAACTCTGTACATGTCTCTACGTGCGGGAGTCGGTGTCGCTGTAACACAAGGTAAACTCTGTACACGTCTCTACGTGCCGGAGTCGGTGTCGCTGTAACACAAAGTAAACTCTGTACACGTCTCTACGTGCCGGAGTCGGTGTCGCTGTAACACAAAGTAAACTCTGTACACGTCTCTACGTGCCGGAGTCGGTGTCGCTGTAACACAAAGTAAACTCTGTACACGTCTCTACGTGCCGGAGTCGGTGTCGCTGTAACACAAAGTAAACTCTGTACACGTCTCTACGTGCCGGAGTCGGTGTCGCTGTAACACAAAGTAAACTCTGTACACGTCTCTACGTGCCGGAGTCGGTGTCGCTGTAACACAAAGTAAACTCTGTACACATCTCTACGTGCGGGAGTCGGTGTCGCTGTAACACAAAGTAAACTCTGTACACGTCTCTACGTGCCGGAGTCGGTGTCGCTGTAACACAAAGTAAACTCTGTACACATCTCTACGTGCCGGAGTCGGTGTCGCTGTAACACAAAGTAAACTCTGTACACATCTCTACGTGCCGGAGTCGGTGTCGCTGTAACACAAAGTAAACTCTGTACACGTCTCTACGTGCCGGAGTCGGTGTCGCTGTAACACAAAGTAAACTCTGTACACGTCTCTACGTGCCGGAGTCGGTGTCGCTGTAACACAAAGTAAACTCTGTACACATCTCTACGTGCGGGAGTCGGTGTCGCTGTAACACAAAGTAAACTCTGTACACGTCTCTACGTGCCGGAGTCGGTGTCGCTGTAACACAAAGTAAACTCTGTACACATCTCTACGTGCCGGAGTCGGTGTCGCTGTAACACAAAGTAAACTCTGTACACATCTCTACGTGCCGGAGTCGGTGTCGCTGTAACACAAAGTAAACTCTGTACACGTCTCTACGTGCCGGAGTCGGTGTCGCTGTAACACAAAGTAAACTCTGTACACGTCTCTACGTGCCGGAGTCGGTGTCGCTGTAACACAAAGTAAACTCTGTACACGTCTCTACGTGCGGGAGTCGGTGTCGCTGTAACACAAAGTAAACTCTGTACACATCTCTACGTGCCGGAGTCGGTGTCGCTGTAACACAAGGTAAACTCTGTACATGTCAGACATCTTTATCTTACAGCTAGAGTGGGGATATAAAACAGTTGACAACAACATGGCGAGTTGAGATGGGAATACATGTGACATTGTCTCCACCCACCTCGTGTATCAGGTCTTACAGTTCTAACACAGTTGTGTGTATGTCTGGAGGGTGGTGTTCCCATTACAATACATGTGACATTGTCTCCACCCACCTCCTGTATCAGGTCCTAGGGGTGTCCCAGTCTTCTGTGTTTCCTCCTCTCCGCTCAAGGCTGTGGAGACCAACAGGATCGTTAGAATAGACTGAAACTATATTTTGTATGTTTGAAGATGCAAATATTGAACATATCCTGACATTACATACACTGTATTATTCTCATGTGGATTAAATGTGTTATCATGCATGTCATGAAGGTCAATAAGGTGCATATCAACCTGCTCATTGCAGAGGTTGTTTCAGATGATGGGCAGAGCTTTTTCATACATCTTTGTTGTTGTTTTGCCCTGTTTTACTGGCAATATTCCAGCTGTGCGAAGGCAGTCTGTAAATAATCGGGTCTGTACCAGACAATCCAGTGTTTGACATCAGCAGCATCGATCCACTCGACTGGGATATGATGACATGACTACTGTTAGTCGTGCCCACTGTACACACTATTCTCCCACCTACCGTGTATGTCAGACTCTAGTGTGGTACAAGAGCTCAGTGCTTCCATCTCACTCCAGGCTGGAACACAGAATTGTACATTAGAAAACTACAGCAGTGTATGGTCATCGGATTTGGCATGGAAACAACAACAGCATAAGTCGTAAACCGATCTCGATATGTACAGGGTACATGGAGGGATCAGTTGACAACAAATTTATCTTACCAACATTATTTCATACAAGTCTGGAATCTCTGACCGCAGATGCTAGCAAAACTCGTAGCAGATGCCGCACATGAACTGAGTTACTTCCCTTTGCCCAATGCATTTGGATAAACATCGGTTCATTTCAACTCAACGATACTTGTTTGAGATATGCAAGTTACCTACGATGTGCTCCGAGTGATTTCTTAGAGTGCTACTGAAGAGATGAAAGCACCTCTATTGTTACTAGAAGCATACACACATATATTGGAGTATGGTATTATTGCTTGTGATGTTATTGTGTCAATGGATGGCAATAAGGGATTCCATTTGTGACCCGCGGCTTCTATATTGCCAATGTTGAATCGGTGATTCCCAGGGATTTCAAGATTTATAAATATGGGTTTTTCAGATTAAAAACGATGTTTTATTGGTCTGTTTTCAGTCGTACAATTGGGTATCTCATACCTCTGGTCGCACGTTAAAAGGAAGCCAGAAGCTGGAATGTAAACAATAAACTTGTTTCCGTCCGGTTGCGCACGCACCTCCCGATGACATGCCATCAAGCAGGACTGGACTGGATTACTTCCCAGTGGGGATGGCTGGGTGGGAATGTACGACTGAAAACAGACCAATAAAACATCGTTTTTAATCTGAAAAACCCATGTTTTAGTCTGTTTACAGTCGTACAATTGGGTAGAATTCGACGGAACACTGGAAGGAGGGTCTGGAAAGTAATCCGGAAGTGACCTCTTGCACGTCGAATGTACCAAGTTCCTCACCCCCGTAGTGACAATAGAACATTCGACCAGATGCACGGACAAGACAAATTGTTTATCACGAACGCACAGCATGGTTAATGCTCATCGACACACAACTAATTATCGATGCGACAGGACAACTGCACGCGTCAGTTGAACGGCGATCGAAGTGGTCGACGTATAGTTTAGTTTCAGAACGCCTCGTCGTATCCAAGGTAACTAAAACTGCATGGTTAATGCTCTTCGACCCACAAGTAAGTTTCGATGCGACAGGACAACTGCACACGTCAGTTGAGGTGCGATCGAAACGTGGTCGGCTTATAATGTAGTTACAGAACGACTCGTCGTAGGCAAGGTAACTAAAACAGCATGTTTAATGCTCTTCTACACACTACTAATTATCGATGCGACAGGACAACTGCACGCGTCAGTTGAACTGCGATCGAAGCGGTCGACGTATAGTTTAGTTACAGAGCAACTCGCAGTATACAAGGTAACTAAAACAGCATGTTTAATGCTCTTCGACCCACAAGTAACTATCGAAGCGACAGGACAACTGCACACGACAGTTGAATTGCGATCGAAGTGTGGACGGTATATAAAGTGGTTCAGAACGACTGGTCGTATCCAAGGTAACGAAAAATAGCATGGTTAATGCTCTTCGACACACAACAAATTATCGATGCGACATGACAACTGCACACGTCAGATGAAATGCGATCGAAGTGTGGTCGGCGCATAATTTAGTTACAGAGCAACTCGCAGTATACAAGGTAACTAAAAAATACGAGCAGTACTTCTAGTCGGAGACAATGTCGAAGGCGACCTGATCGAGATAACTCAGGCAGAAAAGTGAGATAGCCAAGCCATAGCCAGGCTGTCGTCACAATCCATCGTCGACGTCGATTGTGTAGATGTAGATGAAGGTACTGGTGTATTGGTCGATGGTCCATGGACCTCTGACGTAGTCGAATCCTTCTTGGTCGACGCCCTGGAGGTGAGTACCGCCGTCGTGATCTGGGCTATCAAAGCTGGGGCGATATGAAAGTGAGACGAGGGTGTCGAACGGTCATTTTCTCTACGACGCTGTCGTCACAATCCATCGTCGACATCGATTGTGTAGGCGTAGATGAAGGAACCGGTGTACAGGACGATGGTCCATGGACCTCCGACGTAGACGAACCCTTCTCGGTCGACGCCGTCAAGGTGAGTACCGCCGCCGTCATCTGGCCTATCAAAGCCGGGTCGATATGAAAGTGAGACGAGGGTCACGATCGATCATTATCTCTACGACGCTGATCTCCCAAAAACTCCCTTCGAAGGCGTCGCACGTCCCCGTGGGGACGAGGGCTACGATCTCTAACTGTAGAAGTACTACGATCCCCATCGTAGTTATCGTCCGAATCGAACTCCCGACGACCTCGAAGGCGACGAACGTCCTCGTGTCGTTCACTGTCACTCGACGAGGCCCTCGACCTGTCGTCCCGTGAACGGGAACGACTTCTAGAGAGGGATCTGTGTACACTGTCCACCCGCACGACGTTCCTATCGTCGTTGGTAGGACGAGAGACGGACCGACTGGGGACCGTAGTCCCCTCGTGGTCCTCGGCACCACCTGGTCCCGTCGTAACGGGGGTGGCTGAGTGACGCTCTCGATCAACCGATTGACGAAGATCAGTCGTGCGGGTAGTATCATCAGCAGGCGAACGGTCCCGTGTCTTGTCAAAAACATAAGTTGACTGAGGCGGGTCTTTTTCAACTGATTTCTTGGGTGTGGCCGACGCGCCACCCCCAGGGCCAGATGTAGGGGGTGCAGAGTCCAATGATCCACCCGATGACTTCCTCTGCCTGTAGCGCTGGTCAGTAGCCCGCTTCGCCAACGCACGAAGATACAAGTTAAAGTTGATAGAAGACAAATGCTCACATTCTTAACAATGTTCATTCCACGAACACGTTGAAAACCCGTCCTTATTTATGCAGGAAGGACAATACTTGTGAGGATCTACTTTAGACAGTTGTCCTTGACACGAGGCACAAATGCCCGACATGTTGCCACGTGTATAATCAAGTGAAACACGTGTTGAACCCAAACAATGGATCACCAATGAATACATTCCAGGAGTCTACAGGTAAGACATAGTATTATTACTGTATTAGAACAACAACTGTAGACACACGATAAGTACAAGGAGAATACAAACTAGCAGTCTATCGCTAAAGTCCTTCTCAAACGACCAGCTCAGAGGCGCGCTGAGAGATTTGTGGCATGTCATCGGGAGGTGCGTGCGCAACCGGACGGAAACAAGTTTATTGTTTACATTCCAGCTTCTGGCTTCCTTTTAACGTGCGACTAGAGGTATGAGATACCCAATTGTACGACTGAAAACAGACTAAAACATGGTAATTGCATAAAGGAAGACCTATCAAACGTGGATAATATCAGGACAATGTCCCAGTGCTGTTTGTCTTGTACATGCATGTTGTACAGTACCTCCACCGTGGTCTGAGTGCCGGGGTGTTTCTGGGCTCCCTGGCTCCCTCTCTGTGTCAGGGGCTGAAAATAACAAAACAGTCTCCTTGAATAACTGTAATGTGTTGATTGTTTTGACTGGCATTTCTGTCCACCCATTACCGATGCATGCTGCATAGACATGGAGAAAGATTTCAAGATTCCAATGTAGCTGAATATGACCGATATTGAGGGGTCTCATGTAAACAAGATTTGGTTCGATGCGTATATATATATAAATATAAGTTCTTGCAGAACTCTTACTTCCAACATTTGTTTCTTTGGAGGTGCACATCGCATAAAGTTTTGGTTCTGGTCATACCGGAACTTTCACATACATATGTCCTATGTTGTGAAACTGTCAAGTGTCTAAAAGAGGGATTTTTTTTATAGGAATAAATGATAAAATGGGGCTTGAATTATTGTCTATTGTGTTGTTAAATTGTTTTTGTCTTTGGGGGAAAGTGAGTGAGTGAGTTTGGTTTTATGCCGCTTTTAGCAATATTCCAGCAATATCACAGCGGGGGACCCCAGAAATGGGCTTCACGCATTGTACCCATGTCAGGATTCGAACTCGGGCCTTCGGCGTGACGAGCGGACACTTTAACCACTAGGCTACCTGACCGCCCCCTTTGGGGGGAGAAAAAAAAAGGATACATGGTTAAAGTGATATAATGACTGGATTTATTCCCCTCCAAGGCGGGTTACACAGTATTTTATCAAGATCACGTGGACCAATCAGATCTCATCATTGTGACATGGAGGTATGATATAATGACTTATACCTAACCCTTAAGTCACTAAGTGGAATCATGTGACTGACCCCAATTCTATTTGCTGTTCAGCAAATTTGATTTTAATAACTTGGCTTACATATTTCATTTTAAAACCTTATCAGTGAATGAAATAAGAATTCAAATGATGATTAATATCAAAAGATAAAAAACATTGCATGTTTTAATGTGAATCGTTAAAGGTATTGTGATGTTGTAGATATACAGAAAGACAAAGGGTTATCTCCCTTGCCCTACTGGAATACTTTGAAGCTTTGCTGATTCTCTCTCAAAGATGCATAACTCGTATATCATAGTGCTGGCTTACATACAGCTACTTTGGAAAACAACGGGCCATTGAAAAAGCACCACAACAATATTCAGAGGTCACGGCGAAAAGTAAAACACAGGAACATCATGAACTCAGAAATTTCCCTCACCTTTCTGTTTTTGTCTTAATGATTCAAAACACTTTAGAAAATGTATTTGATGGTCTCTGACCCACACACATGCATCACCACTCAAATCGTTCCGTAACTTACAAGACATCTTGTCCCACTATTGGGCAGTTTGGCAAGGACTAAAGGATCAGTGCCATTTCTAACACTGTAAAGAATGTTTAGTAACATCACAATACCTGGGGATGCAACAGTGTTTCACTGTTTGAATTATTACATTGATCCAACTTGCTGACAGTGTGTCACAAAACACTCTCAGTTCTATTCTGGTGAGAAATACCAAGCTCATGGTGGCAGTGGTTGACATTCTTCAGTCTAACAGTGGGATCCCCAATCACTGATACGATAGGTGTCTCGACATGTGCATGTCATGGAGAACAGCCTGGAACGCCTATCACCCTATACGACAGGTGTCTTGACATGTGCATGTCATGGAGAACAGCCTGGAATGCCTATCACCCTATATGATAGGTGTCTCGACATGTGCATGTCATGGAGAACAGCCTGGAACGCCTATCACCCTATACGATAGGTGTCTTGACATGTGCATGTCATGGAGAACAGCCTGGAATGCCTATCACCCCATACGATAGGTGTCTTGACATGTGCATGTCATGGAGAACAGCCTGGAATGCCTATCACCCCATACGATAGGTGTCTTGACATGTGCATGTCATGGAGAACAGCCTGGAACGCCTATCACCCTATACGATAGGTGTCTTGACATGTGCATGTCATGGAGAACAGCCTGGAATGCCTATCACCCTATATGATAGGTGTCTCGACATGTGCATGTCATGGAGAACAGCCTGGAATGCCTATCACCCTGCCTTGAACCCCAACATCTTATAACGGGGAGTCCCCTGAACTAAAAAATACAGACCCAAGTAAATCCCTTGGTTACCAATCAGAGCTCCAGATAAGCTGCGTATCTGCGTAAAATACGCATCAGAAATGCATAAATATGCAGTAAAATAAAATCCAAGCGTATCAAATACGCAACGAACATTACAGATACGCTACATCATGATTATTTGCCATCACACTTTCTTGTGGAAGTATCGTGGTATTTTTGAGTCCTATAAAGCTCTCGAACCCACACGACACCAGTTTGCAGGGACTAGATGAATAGTGTTTTTAAAAATTTAACTTAAATACCCACATGTGTAAAAACAAGTGGGTAACAGAAATTTGAATACCCAGATAGAATTACTGATACCCAATGGTTTTAAAATGCATGGGTAAAATACCCACAACACCAAAAGCCTATCTGGAGCTCTGCCAATACCCCCATGATAGACAACAGATGTAGTTTAGATATTAACTATTTCCTGAATACTTACCCCGCACAGATCTGAAACGGAAAAGCAAACAGTAACTGGTTGAGTAACTAATAATCATGAAATTATCTTTAATCAATACTTGAAATTTATTTTCTCGGTTGACTTGATCAATGTTTACTGCCTTTTATGATAGACCTGATAAATAGAGAATCTCACCCGAGTGTCTTTTGATATTAAATACATCAACACAAGTAGATAAAAGTGGAAAAACTCTGAAGCTTGCCGAGGAGTTTTTCCACTTTTATTTTATTCATCATCCAACATCTTTCTTCCAACTTTTTCAGTTTGTAGACAGTAATAAGCAGTGTCTTAAATGTAAGAAGTACTGCTAACAGCTTCAGCAGCAGACCATTAGTGATGTCATTTGATTGTGACATCATGGTAACCAATGACAACACAATGGTCTGCAAAGCATTGTGATGCAATTTCATTGCAGTGATATCTACAGTGTAGATATTGCTTGATCACACCCTAGGATATCTCCTATATGAGCCAGTTTGGGATGACAATTTAAGGGCGTTTTTTCGAAAGCTCTTCATATTGAGGATAAAATAGTAATAAATTGTACGAAACAATGTGACCCCTATGAACTAATAACTACATCCAGTTAATGGTTAATGGTCTCAAATAGTGAAAATATATAGTTATTGTATCGCTGATGGCAACTTCTTGGCTATTCATGTTTAAGTGAAATAGAATTATACCTTCTTCGCCGTCTGTATACAGACACAGTGATGATGATGATGATGATGAAGATGATGATGAGTATGGCGAACACAGGTACAAGTATAGCAGCCAGTGGAGTTGAGGTAGTTTCTGTTGTTGAGGTGGTTTCGGGAGTTGAGGTGGTTTCTGGAGTTGAGATGGTTTCCGGTGATGTCTGGTCTTCACTGTGATTGGGACCACTTTCTGTAAAATAATACTTCCATATCAATGGTGTAGATTTTGCTAGAGCTTTGAAAAAAAAATGTGTCTTGAGAAAGTGCAGCGATAATTTTAGTCCACTAGTCCTTATGTTTGTTTGTTGTTTAACGATGCACTCAGCAATATTCCAGCTATATGACAGTGGTCCGTAAATAAAAAAGACAATGACATGCATCAACCAAGTCAGGGAGCCTGACCACCCGGTCCTGTTAGTAGCCTCTTACGACAAGCATAGTACTCTTTTACGGCAAGTATGGGATGAAGACCTATTCTACCCCGGATGTCCACAGGGCTTGTCCTTAAAATGAGAACATACAGCAAAACCCTTCACAGGGCAAAGTCCTTATGATACCGGAACTACTGGGCAGTTGGGCAAGGACTACAGGACTAGGGCCAATTTCTATTGCTGAAAGTGTCACCACACTCATAACTGGGTATCTTGAAACTTGTGGCCTTGACTTGTTGACCTCATGACCTCTGACATGTGACATGAAACTATCATTGTCCAAACATTCACACTGTCCTCTTTCTAAAATCAGGTTAGTGCCTACAGGTACATGAATCTACATTGAAAGCACAAGTTTATTTCCAATGCTTATTCAGAATTTTTACCAATGATTTTTGTAATGAATGAATTTTTTTCCTGAGAATATTATCTCTTACTGGAGTGTGTGTTTTTGTTTGATGTCACATTTCGCATTGTCCCAGTTGTATGACTTTAAATACACAAGTTTCCACCACAGAGATACAATCTGATCACTGATCACTGATTAACCTGATGAATATTTTAACACTGTGAACTGAAAGCATGGCTCTCACTGATCAGCATAGTCTTGCTGTAGCATGCCTGATGTCACTGTCAACAATCAGCTCTCTGTGATATCTTTTGCAAATAAATAATTTGTGAAAAAAAGGTAAAAGTCATAAGTCGGTGGAACACAAGCGAAATAGCAAACTACTGGGCTCGAAACAATCAGCAAGCAGGCAACCTCGTGACTGATACAAAGAAATAACATTCCACACCATCAGGAACGATGACATGCAATGACAGATGGTAATACAGGATGTGTGCATGATGCAATGACAGATGGTAATACGGGGTCGGTGCATGATGCAATGACAGATGGTAATACAGGATCGGTGCATGATGCAATGACAGATGGCAATACACGATCGGTGCATGATGCAATGACAGATGGTGATACGGGATCGGTGCATGATGCAATGACAGATGGTAATACGGGATTGGTGCATGATGCAATGACAGATGGTAATACAGGATTGGTGCATGATGCAATGACAGATGGCAATACACGATCGGTGCATGATGCAATGACAGATGGTAATACGGGATCGGTGCATGATGCAATGACAGATGGTAATACAGGATTGGTGCATGATGCAATGACAGATGGTAATACAGGATCGGTGCATGATGCAATGACAGATGGTAATACAGGATCGGTGCATCATGCAATGACAGATGGCAATACATGATCGGTGCATGATGCAATGACAGATGGTAATACAGGATCGGTGCATGATGCAATGACAGATGGCAATACAGGATTGGTGCATGATGCAATGACAGATGGTAATACAGGATTGGTGCATGATGCAATGACAGATGGTAATACGGGATTGGTGCATGATGCAATGACAGATGGTAATACGGGATCGGTGCATGATGCAATGACAGATGGTAATACAGGATTGGTGCATGATGCAATGACAGATGGCAATACAGGATTGGTGCATGATGCAATGACAGATGTCAATACAGAATTGGTGCATGATGCAATGACAGATGGTGATACGGGATCGGTGCATGATGCAATGACAGATGGTAATACGGGATCGGTGCATGATGCAATGACAGATGGTAATACAGGATCTGTGCATGATGCAATGACAGATGGTAATACAGGATTGGTGCATGATGCAATGACAGATGATCATACACGATCGGTGCATGATGCAATGACAGATGGTCATACGGGATTGGTGCATGATGCAATGACAGATGGTAATACGGGATCGGTGCATGATGCAATGACAGATGGTAATACGGGATCGGTGCATGATGCAATGACAGATGGTAATACGGGATTGGTGCATGATGCAATGACAGATGGTAATACGGGATCGGTGCATGATGCAATGACAGATGGTAATACGGGATCGGTGCCTGATGCAATGACAGATGGTAATACGGGATCGGTGCATGATGCAATGACAGATGGTAATACGGGATTGGTGCATGATGCAATGACAGATGGTAATACGGGATCGGTGCATGATGCAATGACAGATGGTAATACGGGATTGGTGCATGATGCAATGACAGATGGTAATACGGGATCGGTACATGATGCAATGACAGATGGTAATACGGGATTGGTGCATGATGCAATGACAGATGGTAATACGGGATTGGTGCATGATGCAATGACAGATGGTAATACGGGATTGGTGCATGATGCAATGACAGATGGTAATACGGGATTGGTGCATGATGCAATGACAGATGGTAATACGGGATCGGTGCATGATGCAATGACAGATGGTAATACGGGATCGGTGCATGATGCAATGACAGATGGTAATACGGGATCGGTGCATGATGCAATGACAGATGGTAATACGGGATCGGTGCATGATGCAATGACAGATGGTAATACGGGATCGGTGCATGATCTCCGACACTGTTAACCAGTGACCAGGGTTGACCACGTGATCCACTTAGTTGTCTCTGATGACACGCATATGTTGATGGGGAAATGAACCCATAATCCCCGAGAGGTTCATTAATAAGGTTATTAACTTTCAATAAAACGAAAAGAAATCAGATAATTCATTTAACTGAAATTTACTCATTTTTACGTGTTGATTCCCAAATTGAAACAAAGGTTGACTCAGAAATCACTACAAACTAAATTGAGAATGTAGTAAATTACCATACCAGATCAATAAACATTCAACAACTTTTACTGAAATACACAGGATTAGGTTTACAATCATTAAAACTTATACACCGAGTCAAAACGTGGCAGTAGCGGCATACAATAACAGGCCCCATTACATACGTCAGTGCACTCACCAATGTCCAGTATTTGTACAGCCGAGTCTTAAGTGAGGCACGCGCTCCAGGACAGAATCCCGGAAACAGTGTGGGCACACGCAGACAAGTTGGTGTCCCAGGTATTCTATCCACAGTCACCCGCGTCCCGTTCTTATATAGGTAGATCCAGCCTTCTACAAACAGTAACCATGCCATACTCCTGACTGAAGTATTCTGCACCAGTGTGAGCAACAACCAAGGGAGGTCACTCTAACATGCATGGTGCCGAGAGATGACGAGATATACTGCATGAGCGCCTTAATCAAATTGTCACTTGCATTAATCAGAAATAAAGTTACAATATACACTGCCACATAAAACTTGCCTTACAAATTCATTAAAATTACTTACATGTCCTTGAAATACAGACAACGATGACTGTTCACTTTTCCAAATAATTTCTTGTAAGTAATTCAATGTTGTGTCCCATGATCAAGACTATGTGTTTATTGGCTAACTAACAGCTCTGTGCTTCAGTACTAAAATCTTTCGTTTGCTTTATTAAATTCCCTAACTATATAATCCACTATCCTGAGAATGTTCATGTTAATATTTTTGTGCAATTCTGGTTTTTATGCTTTGTTTACACATATTTTGTGGTTCTGTTTCTGCACGCAGTCGAATGACGTAAGCACTCAGTAATGGATACATGTACTAACTTTTTCCACAAGGGCTAGACTCCTAATGAACACATTTTCCCATGGGTCCTGTCAAAGAGTATCTGTTCCTGTAGCGACATTGTTCCATTGTACGCTATTTTCTCGAGATGAATTACTCCCATGTGTAATGATTCTATGTAAATTCAGACCAATAATAACTTTGTGCTGCATGTAACCATAGGAAACATAATGATGTAATGTGACAAAATTGGGAGATTGTGAATTCTCTGTGAACACTTGAGTGAGTGAGTGAGTGAGTGAGTGAGTGAGTGAGAGAGAGTGACTTTATGATGTTTTTAGCAACATTCCAGAAATATCAAGGCGGTGGACACTGAAAAATGGACAAATTGTACCGATGAGGGGAATCGAAACCGGGTCTTTGGCGTGACAAGACAACGCTTTAACCACATGCTACCCGACCGCCGCCAGCATGACTAGTACATACCATGGTGGATCTCACAGAAATGCCCTGTGTTGTTTCCCTTACATCCCAGAGTACATTGACCAGTCTGCTGACTGCAGATGAGTCTCCGACAGTTCCTGCTACAGGACAGGAGACACTGGCCGCCGTACCATCCAACCACGCATCCCTCAGAGCATCTACCACTGTGTCTGTCACAGTGCACATCCTGGCCGGAATGGGGGAAACAGGAACGGCTGCAGTTCAGTTGACAGTGTTCTCCATATTTGCCCACGGGACACTCCTGGCCCAATACGCCCACTACTGAAAAGACAAGGGTTTATTGGTGTGTACAGTTTTTGACCCCGAGGAATGATGACAGCTTCGTCTGCTTGCCTGCCATGTTGATAGCAGTACACTTGGTTATGAACTCATTCAGAAAATGTTGATGAAATACATCTGTAACAGTAGGAGAAACTGATGTCATGAGATATTCTTAGTGGTATGCACAGAACATGTGTTTATAGAATTTTCTCCCTTAGGAAGGAAAACGTTTTGTGAACGATTTGTTGTAATGAACGCCCATGGTGGAGAATTGGGAAAACTGCGATGTTTCGATGTAAATGACGAGGAACCATTGTGTTCACGGAGTCTACGATGTAGATGTTGATAACAATGACCAAAATACAATCTGAATGAACCGAAACAAACTTCCAATTCAGCCAAAGTTAGTTTTAGAAAACTATCGTTTCCCTCATGTGCGTTAGGTATCCTGACTAATTTACAGATGGCTGAACAAAGTTATCACTACGTCAAAGACAGAGAATCAGAGTTGAATTTTTTTTGTTCAGAGAATTGAAACATATTTTTTAAAGACAATGTAAAATAAATTAAGACAGCATGTATTACCCCATCTCTCAAGAATGACATATTATCAACCATATGAGCAATGGGCCAATGGCATAATCACATTTCTTGAATAAACTTCTTCAACAACTGGCAACAACTGCTACGTAAGTTCAAGCACATTATACTCCTTATCAAAAGTAGGGGATCATGTAACACAAATGTTATTATCACCCACGTGGTGAAGATACAGTAGTAAGATACTAAATCTGTACGTCACACATGTGTCGTACAAGGTTGACCATGTTTTATTTCTTTTGATTGGATAACCGTGACCTCTGTCACACCCAGGCTACCTTTTTCATTCAAAATATATCGCGAGACATCATTCATTTTGCAACTACAAGGCAGAACTTAAGCAATCTCATGAGAGCGAGAGATACTTACAAACACTTTATTAAACCAAACAAGATAGTCACACGCATCAAATTCGGTTTGCATTCTATATAAGTTATGCATAGAGCTTCTACAGATATTATATAATCGAGTGATATCCATTTACAATGTATGACTACTGATAAAGAGATCCAGGGTCCCCATGAGCATGAGGCTTGCGACCATAAAAGGTCCACTCATTTCGTAAAACTGGTATCTAACGAGAATGACTCACGATGAGCGTAGTAGTCTCTACATACCAAACATGAGAACAAAGATAAGTGTTGACGACAAACATCCTATGCCATGACATTTATGTCTCTAAAACTTGCTGACATCACTTCCACTGAGCGAACCCCACTCCATATTGTGCAAGGAAGGGTCAGTGGTCAGTACTATTAGGACAATGTACATATACTGACACCCTTTGTTGTCACATTTACAAGGCGTGTGGGTCATCGTTTCCTCTTTCAGGACGACAACGCCCATGTTTACCGTGCACTAGTTGTCAGTGCTCACCCCCAGCAGCACAACATCCATAGAGTGCAGAACTAGCAATAACATTTCCCCCACTGAACACATTTGGGGCATTTAAAACCGTCAACTTTGAAATTTCTCATCGATCTTCCCCGATCCTTGGCGGTCATAACATCTACTGTGATACTTCACTGTTGGTTGTAGTGGTTGTATGGGTGCCAGGATACATTGTGTTTTTCACCCTTAAGGTCCCTTATCTCATGGTTGGTCACGTGTCTTCACAAGCAGTGTTAAGTTGGTTGGTTGGTTGATTTGTTGTTTTACGCCGCACTCAGCAATATTCCAGCTATATAACGGCGGTCTGTAAAATAATCGGGTCTGGACCAGACAATCCAGTGATTGACATCATGAGCATCGATCCACGCACTTGGGATCGATGACATGCATCAACCAAGTCAGCGAGCCTGACCACCCGATCCCGTTAGTCGCCTTTTACGACAAGCATAGTCGCCTTTTACGGCAAGCATGGGTTGCTGAAGACCTATTCTACCCCGGATCTTCACGGGTAGCAGTGTTAAGGGCATAACTACCTGTAGCTGTCAGTACTGAAGTCACTCAACACAAACGTACCCAGTAGTAGCAACAGCAGGCCCCTGTCCAACATGGTCTATGTCAGCATCACCCCTTCTGGAACAGTCGAGAAACAAACAACTGTGAAAGTGTCAGGCTCCAAGGTGAATCTTTATGTTCAATGGACAAAGGGAGGTAATATTAAAACTTATTTGAGAGGGTGGATTAAACCAGTTTAGGCCATATTTAATCATTTGGTAGATGGAACAAATCTTGTGAGTAATGTGTGACTTTGTATTTTGATTTTTCATAGACATAGCCCATCTGAAGAGAAATACTTGTGTTTCAGATAGCATGGACCCTATAGATGGGAGTGAGTGAATATGATTTTATGCCGCTTTTAGCAATATTCCAGCAATATCACGGCGGGGATCACCAGAAATGGGCTTCACACATTGCACCCATGTTGGGAATCGAACCTGTGTCTTCGGCGTGACAAGCGAACACTTTAACCAGTAGGCTACCCCACCGCCCTAAATAGATGTGAGGTGGGGTGAGGAGAGGTGAATCAAGTTTAAACGGGGTTTAAAGGGGAAGTGTACACGCAAAAATCACTTTCTTTCTTTTTCTAAACAAAACGCAATTTTAGAATTAGTTAGTATCTGTGTTTGAAAATATACACTCATTTTTTTTCACAGTGAAAGTAGGAAGCTCACAATAGTGTTAAAATGATATGCCGTTATGAGGCCTTCGTTTTACGAGCGAAATAGGCCTGAGTTATCCCCCTTAGATTATGACGTAATTGGTGCCAATTCAACTGGGTTCCTGTCTATTCTCAACGCAAAAGATATCAAGGACCAGTTTGGGGTAAAACAACATGGTCTACGACACACTCCGGCGCAGTGGTGACTCAGCATAACACAATTCTGGCTGGCATCTGAGACGCTAGAATCACAAAACTGTACCTACACCACGTGAAGCGGCTCTAACAAAGCATGATGACGTCATAATGTTTATCAATTGGCACCAATGACGTCATATTGCAAGGGGCATAAGCCATGGTGTTTTTGTTATTGGAATAGAACACTTGGTAAATGTGAAAAATATAAATCGTTTTAATGCAAAAAATATGGTAATTAAATATGATGTTTTTAAATTTTTGTCTATGACACTTCTATGTTAACACTTTTAATGTGGAAAAAGTACAAGAAAAATTGGTTCATTTCCGTGTGAACTTGCCCTTTAACATCTCTTTCAAGAGTATTGCACTTATACAGCGACGTGCATGCATGCGTGTGTGTGTGAGAGAGAGGGTCCAGAGTAATGCCTTTTTTATAGTGCCACAGTTTAACATGGACACCTCACTGACACAGTATACTGACTCCGAGCCGACCAGACCGTCATATCCCCTTAATGCCGAGCACCAGGCAGGGTAACATGAAGTACCCTCTTTTAAAATCTTTTGGCAATATGCTCTGTGTTTCAAGGTAGTTTGCATTCTTATTTTAAATATTGTTTTTCATGTTTATCATCGGTAGCTAGTTTAAAACTAATGTTAGTTACATTGATTCTTGAATTTGCGAACGATAATATGCATAAACATTCACATTTTCCCATGTAACATACAACGGCCATTTCCTACTTTGAAGAAATCATGTGGGCTGCAAGTGAAACAAGTAGTTGAAAAGAAAAATAAAGGGACCCATGAAGATCCGGGTTCAGCAACCCTTGCTTGCTGTAAAAGGCGACCAACGTGATCGGGTGGTCAGGCTCACAGACTTGGTTTGATGCATGTCATCATATCCCAATTGTGTGGATCGATGCTCATGATATAAATCACCAAATTGTCTGGTCCTGACTTTATTATTTACAGACCGCTGAAATATTGCAGAGTGTGGCCTTAAACAACACACAAACAATAATAACTCAAGAAATAGAGCAAAATGAAGCTGTGGCGAGTGGTCAGTAGAGGACGTGATGGGGTCACTCGTAGGCGTGACGGTCTGTCAGTGGACCGTGCATTTCTGCATGTTGCACAAAAATGTCTCTACAAGTGTTATTCATGAAAATAATAAATTAAATTAAGGACAGTTATTGATCATTATTCAAGTTATCGTATGACATAACAAAATGTCATAAGAAAAAAAATAAACAGTCAAATTGGGAGATAAATGTGCAAAAATTGAGCAAAATGTTGTTTTTGACAGCGATTTTTCCTATGTACATTTTTTCAGAAACTTACATGTAGTATTTACTAAAAGTCAATCTGTTTGTTTAGCGGTAGCGAGAACTAAGGTCTGATTTTAATGAGATTGACTAAAAGAATATTCATCATAGAGTTACAAGACTACATGAAATGTTTCACACACACAAACGCACATCTGTTTGCCACTGCGTTGAAACATGTTTACTTTCTTCGAAACTGCGGGATCATCTCTTGTACAAGTGACTGGCTGACAAGCCGATAAAGGGAGGTAGCCACTGTCTGACTAAATTGTTCAACCGGAACATCTGTCACAAAATGTCTGTCTGAATGAGAATGGTACGTATAATATGCACGATATTTAGCGTATGGTTTCGTGGTTAGAACAAGGAGGAAATGTATTTTGATCTCGTATTAGGAAAACAATTTGCAATGGGGACTATATTATTGGGTGGAAGAAAAATTTCGTAAACACGGCAGACTTCTGCTGATTTCCAAACGACGCGCCTCGGATTTCATTTAGTTTGTACTGAATAATTATTACTCTGGCTATATGTTCAAGGGCACATTATATTCTTGTAATTGGGGTATTTATCAAGCAACAAGTTTTTCGTCTATTGATATTTTCTTGAACAAAGGATGATGAATATCAAACTTGTGAAAAATAGCCAGATATAAATAAACAATGCCAATTAGAAAGTGGCACAATAGCCAGATAGCTGGGAACAGAATCAACACGACCAGGGTTGCCTTCACGGCACCGCAAAGCTGTTACGCCAACAAGAAACGACGACCCGCAATGCGATATTTTGAATGGTAGAAAACTTGAAATGTGAGCAAACTTAGCCAGCAAACTGACAAGGTAAGGATGTCATCTGTGGGATGACTCCACGCCCTGCTACATTTGCAAGTGACCATTTAAGTTTAATTTCACTTATTTTACCAAAGTTCCAAAAATTAGGTGCCGTTTTCGCCAGGTGACGCTCTGCTCAGGCTGTTGGGTGCCGCTTCACCCCACCATATGCACGTTTCTTCAGAAGCATTTTTTAAAATACGTTCAACGGAGCGATCCCTCCTAGCCATAACGTGTGCTCTAAGACAGACATCAGTCACATATTTCATTGCCGACAACTGACTCGGTCAACACCAAGAACGTCTTTGTTCATAGTTCTTCCCGCTCAAACCAGGCCGATGGCATATAACGTAAACAAAACTAGAGTTCTCTCCCTTGACTGACAAACATTGAAAATACGGACAAAACCCGGACGTAACACTCCGGACAGAGCCGGGATTTCAGGTGCACACACTCTTTACATTTAAGGTTATTTATTAGACTATTTTATTTATATCCGTGAATTTGATTTCATTTCCAGGATTTTTGACGTCAAAACAAAATTGATGGATTTGGTAGCGATTAGCTCAAACGCTGACTGTTTCAAAGATTGTGTTACAATAACAACGGCAGTTTGCATTATATACTCGCCAACAACAAAATCGCGAATACCATACATGTTGGCAGAGACCTTAAAACAGATTTTATTGTCTCTGATGTTGGTTAATAAATGAAGAATTACTCAGATTCAAAAGATATTAGATTCGTTCGATGCACAAACGAGCACATTGGTATGTTGTGTGAACCAACGCTCATGAACGCATCACATATGACGTCATAGATCCATGAATCGGCATGCACAATTTGTCTCGTGCAGGATTAGCGTGTAAAGTGTGGAAATCACGTGCAGCATTTCGTGATATGAATCAGAAACTCTGTGGTAACACTTGACTGATTGTTTTGTCATTAATAGGTACACATTGGAAACATCTCGTCTTAAGGTACATACCTGTCTATATGTTTCTGTGGTTCGCATTTCTCCTGGCGGTGACACCGTGAGTATACATCTTGATGAATTTCCGGTTACCTCTTTACAAGTTTCAGTGCCAGTTCTCTTTCGTTAGTGACAAAAACAACTTCGGGATAATTGACATCCGATATTTTCAAAGAACAAAATTAAAGATGGCTTAATAGTCCAAACAATCCTCAAAGTGACATCGCTCAATTTCGACATCATTTTCAATCCTTGAAACGTTTTCATCGGCTGCAAATCGATTCAACAGACCTATTTTCACTCGAAACTCTGTCGCCATGTGATACAGGAATCGTTCCTTGTACAATCACGCATATACCACTTCCTTGTACAATCACTCATACGGCTTACTTATAAAATCACGCAATTGTAGGGTTAACAAATATAATGAATACATTTTATAATATCAAATCTAAAATCACCTTTACATGCAAACATTTCATCCTTCAGAAACACATTATCTATATCGTGTGTAATTACTATTCATGTTATTGAACTATAAGAGATTAATCTGTGTGGCAAAGTTACACAAAAACGCTGTTTAATCTTTTATCCATTTTGACAGCTTTCTCACTGTAACACATTTCAACATTTGAAAATTACGCGAAATTTTAACTGTGTTAGTCAAGCGATAAACGGTCTCATTTACTCGATCGTCGGTCACGGTAGATACCTTACCAGTCGTGATATATAATCATTAAAGACCATGGTATAGATCAGCTGTTAGACGTGACGTTATCTACGTCACAACACTCAAGGTCATCCACAAGCACCTCTCCAGACCACAAGGTCACAGTGGCGATAAATCACCGACATATAACAATGAGATTGTAACGAAACTAAACATTGTCGACACTGTGTACAGATAACACGTGAAATAAAGTTTGAAGATTAGGGACAGATTATCATACGATACACTAGAGTACACATTGCACCAATATTGGTTTTGATTTATATTTATTAATATCAATGGTATAATGTCGTAAGATACATTGTACGAACCTTATCTTGTTATAATAATGTATTCCATTTTCTGAGGATATGTATAATGTGTATTAGACAGTTTATATACCTACATAATTAGTTATTATATCTACATAATAATTATGTTGTACAATCACAGCATGTTACATGTACATTAGACACACGGAAAACACTATTTCAGCCAATCATATACGATAGCTATAGCGCCGTTATCACAGTTTCAATGACAAGAAAACCCCATTGAGAAATAGAACGTTTCAGCACACGGTATCCATAAGAGATTAACACAAATGCGAAAAACACGGTTGTCGTCCTAGAAGAAGTAACGTTGATGTTTTCAGTAGTTGTGTTATTTTTGTACCGTGTGTATCATCGACAGAAACGGGGGCCGAGGTACCACGTACACGTGAATGCGACCTTGACACAATTTGTTTGCAAAACCCCTTTCGTTGCAGAACAAACGTCAATAGTCTAACCTCAATAACTGTACAGTGGGGAAAAGATCTTTCCGATCAGTCTAATCTGTTTTTCAAATTGGCTGTCCATATATGGTCGCTTGGCACCGGGAGGGTTAAAATGGAATAAGTAACTGTTGTGAAATGTGACTACAATGCCGAATGTCAGTTACGAAAACACTCGAATGGTGACGAATGGTGACGAATGGTAGGTGTGGTAGGTGTGGCTGGTGGACATCACCGATGTGCATGTGTGTGTTCTCTGATTGTTATCTGTACAGATGTTTACGGACATCCATGCATGCTGTCACAATACAGAAGTAAATAATACGAACATTCCATGCCACAGAACGCATGCGCAGCTGCGTTCAAATTAATGAAGGTACTCAATATGGGGCTACAAATCGCGAATGTCAGCCATTCGTGAACATGCGTTATATATGTATTGGATTGTATCATTCACCGCCGGACTCAGTGCAAAAAGTCTGTGGAGACTAGAGACACCCGCCTCCATGCAACCGTCTCGCACTACCTTTGGTTTGTTGTTTAGCGCTGCACTCCGCAATATTCCAGCCATGACGGCTCTGCTCCACCTGTATGATCAGATCAGTAATATGGACTAATAATGCCTAGTCAGCCATCCACTGCATGTGTTGGTACGGTGTAAGCTGGGTGGGAATGTCGTCATGTTAATTAGTGTATTGATGACAGCAGACAATGAGACTTTGACACTGTTCACTTACAGGAATGTCAGCTTCGTGTCCAGAACGCCCGTAGATAATACAGATGTTAACGTGTGCTTTCACTTTCACGCTGACCACACAATGAATAAAGAATAAAGAGTAATGTACTGCCCCGCTTTCACTATCCATCCACACCACTCCGAAAACCGTCGGCCATTCCTGCTAAAAATACACCTCTGAGATTACTCGAAGCCATGTTAGGAACTACATTTGACCCGCCGACCTCGCTAGCACATGACTGTCATGTGACGTAAACACCCCAGCCTGCTGCCAACAGCCATGTAAGCCTTGTCAGACGCCCACAGAAAATATATACGAGGAGCAGCATGCAATTAGATATAATAAATTTTAGCAAGTTCATTGACCGTTTATAGTCAGTGCAAGACCACTCGAGTGAATGTACCCTCGTGACTTTGTTTAGTCACCGTGTTGGAAGTATATTTTCAAAAAGGTGGTATACGAGTATCTTTTCACCATATATTTAGGTTAACATTTCTAAACAAGGAACTAAGTGTATAAAAGACTGATGAGAAATAAACCCAGAGGGACAGTTAACACGCAGAATAATGTGAATCCGCGAGCGTGTTTCGGCGGAGGCTTAGCCTGTTTACTATATAGATGCCAGTTGCCGCATTGCCTACATTCACAGACGAGTATTCTTTGCGGTTACGGAAATGGACGAGGTTTGGCAACACTGCAGGTTCGCCCGCTACCAACAGCTCAATTACCGCGCTATAGCGCAACCTCTGTCTCGCTATACCGTTATTCGTTTCAGGTAGCTAATTGGTGATCCAACGACCCTTTTCGATCTCAAAGAGCTGACACGCCTTTCAGATCAGACACCCGTTTTAGATCCTTAGGGTTAGCCTGGTTAGGGCTAGGGTTAGCCATAAATTCTTAGCTTGTCACTGTGTTTCCAAAAATCCGATGAAGGTAGTCCCATTCGAGTAGTCGGTAGCGCGTTCGAGCCCCCACAGCCCTTATTGGATATAAAGTACGCCCGATAAAATGCATTACTCCCCAAGTAGACATCAGTTAGAATGAAAACACTATACGAATGTAATGTATCATGTCTGAACTATTGGTTCGAGACTTTTCCGTGCAGGATCAGTGGTTGGAGAGTATAGATCTCTCTACTATATATATATATATATAGAGGCGATTGACCAATCACGTCACTTGGCGGCCATATTCAAAGTGTGTGTGACACACGTGTATTACTTGGGGGAATATACTGTATGCTTGTTCAACACGTGTTAATGATGAAAAGCTGATATACTACAAACTGATGAAGAAGTGAAATAAGACGTTGCCAAGTTATCTTCGAGTTGTCAACGTTTTGCAGGATGTTCGATGAAGAAGACGACTGAAGGTTTGGATTAATACTTTGGGGATATTGAGATAACTGATGAAAAGAAGAAAAAACGGTGTTTGCAGTATTAACTAGAGATTACTACATACGTAACCTGATGTTCTGAATTAGAAAATCGTTTGAATAAAACAACGTAAACGCAGTTGTCTTGTTTCAGTTGGACTATCTTCTGGCCAAATAAAGAACCTGGTAACAAATCTAGGAAATGAAAGGCTTCTCGGAGACATAGTTAAGGTAACAGATGAAACTGGCACCTATTTGTTATTTATGATATCAAATTGCAAAATATACTTTCAGTGTTTACAAACATGGGGTTGCATTTGTATATGTGCTACATATCGAGTCAGAATTTGCCATTGGGGATCTGGTCAAATTACATGGATAATTGTTATCATGATGAAAACACAAGTTTCAGATACCAACAATCAGTGTCTTAGGGGCGAAGGTGAGATTTTTCCACGTGTCAGTAACAGGAATGTCTGTCTGTGTATGCACACCTCTGTAACTTGGTGTCTTACAGACAAAGGTGAGATTGTTCCACGTGTCAGTAACAGGAATGTCTGTCTGTGTATGTACACCTCTGTAACTTGGTGTCTTACAGACGAAGGTGAGATTGTTCCACGTGTCAGTAACACGAATGTCTGTGTGTGTATGTACACCTCTGTAACTTGGTGTCTTACAGACGAAGGTGAGATTGTTCCACGTGTCAGTAACACGAATATCTGTCTGTGTATGTAGACCTCTGTAACTTGGTGTCTTACAGACGAAGGTGAGATTGTTCCACGTGTCAGTAACAGGAATGTCTGTCTGTGTATGTACACCTCTGTAACTTGGTGTCTTACAGACGAAGGTGAGATTGTTCCACGTGTCAGTAACAGGAATGTCTGTCTGTGTATGTACACCTCTGTAACTTGGTGTCTTACAGACGAAGGTGAGATTGTTCCACGTGTCAGTAACAGGAATGTCTGTCTGTGTATGCACACCTCTGTAACTTGGTGTCTTACAGACGAAGGTGAGATTGTTCCACGTGTCAGTAACAGGAATGTCTGTCTGTGTATGTACACCTCTGTAACTTGGTGTCTTACAGATTGTTCCTCGTGTCAGTAACAGGAATGTCTGTCTGTGTATGTACACCTCTGTAACTTGGTGTCTTACAGACGAAGGTGAGATTGTTCCACGTGTCAGTAACACGAATGTCTGTCTGTGTATGTACACCTCTGTAACTTGGTGTCTTACAGACGAAGGTGAGATTGTTCCACGTGTCAGTAACACGAATGTCTGTCTGTGTATGTACACCTCTGTAACTTGGTGTCTTACAGACGAAGGTGAGATTGTTCCACGTGTCAGTAACACGAATGTCTGTCTGTGTATGTACACCTCTGTAACTTGGTGTCTTACAGACGAAGGTGAGATTGTTCCACGTGTCAGTAACACGAATGTCTGTCTGTGTATGTACACCTCTGTAACTTGGTGTCTTACAGACGAAGGTGAGATTGTTCCACGTGTCAGTAACACGAATGTCTGTCTGTGTATGTACACCTCTGTAACTTGGTGTCTTACAGACGAAGGTGAGATTGTTCCACGTGTCAGTAACACGAATGTCTGTCTGTGTATGTACACCTCTGTAACTTGGTGTCTTACAGACGAAGGTGAGATTGTTCCACGTGTCAGTAACACGAATGTCTGTCTGTGTATGTACACCTCTGTAACTTGGTGTCTTACAGACGAAGGTGAGATTGTTCCACGTGTCAGTAACACGAATGTCTGTCTGTGTATGTACACCTCTGTAACTTGGTGTCTTACAGACGAAGGTGAGATTGTTCCACGTGTCAGTAACACGAATGTCTGTCTGTGTATGTACACCTCTGTAACTTGGTGTCTTACAGACGAAGGTGAGATTGTTCCACGTGTCAGTAACACGAATGTCTGTCTGTGTATGTACACCTCTGTAACTTGGTGTCTTACAGACGAAGGTGAGATTGTTCCACGTGTCAGTAACACGAATGTCTGTCTGTGTATGTACACCTCTGTAACTTGGTGTCTTACAGACGAAGGTGAGATTGTTCCACGTTGTCAGTAACACGAATGTCTGTCTGTGTATGTAGGCCTCTGTAACTTGGTGTCTTCCCGAGCACAGAACCACAACTTCTCGTCAGGACGATCTCTGCATTAGGTCACGTGTCTCAATGACAAGCAACCAGTTTTTGTGCGAAGTCGCGACATTCAGATTGTTAGCCCGACAGCTAACCGACTGAGCTATGTCCACACTGTGAATCTAAGCAAAATGTACATAGTCGTGCTTTGCCGTTACGGGACCGAAAAGGGTCGAATAGGTGACGGACACTTACGAAGATTACGAGTAGGCATGGTGTCCAGTAATTTTAGTCTACGGACTTACGAGTGATCCCGATGCCATTTGGCACACTCATCCCATTCCGTAATCTACAAGATACCGAGTGGTGAGGATTGAGCCGATATGGCGCGAACTGAAAACGCTCCAGGTGTCAGAGGTCAGACGTCGAACTCCCGGGTACCCATGAATAACACGTAATTTCATTATTCGTCGGCTGATTTTTGTTACAGAAAAGTGTGGTAGGGAACACTGTAAGGATAATGTTGATAATAGTAAGGAACGAAGGAGGGGGGGGGGGGGGGGGGGGAGGGGGGGGGGGGGGTATGGCTAGTAACGACACAAGGGTGAGTTAGCCTTTGAATCAGTACTGAATAAATTTAGCGTGTGAAACTGGCTTGTGCGAATGTTCCAGGACAGTTTCCAATAGCCAAAATATTCGACACTAAATCATTTCATCCTTTTTTCTGGCTTTGGGAAGAATCTCTTCTAACTTATGGTAATTCAAGCGCACTGTTGTTAGTACGCAGGACACATATAAGAAAATCTTAAAAGTCAAATGTGCTCCGCGCTTTGAATATCGGACCAACGGTCGGTCGCTCGCACTGCTATGTAATCAAAATGGTTCGGTTTTCTTGATCTATCAGCTGAATTTATATCCTGCCCGTACCATCTTGGAAGAGGGATATCAGAGTGTTCAACAAAGACATTCATGATAATTGTACCACCCTATACCGAAGACGTGAAAAACAACAATCTCAAGTCTGTTTGCATGTCAGTGACAGCTTCGAACGAAGGGCAAGGTCACCACAGGAATAAGAAAAGACAACTGTGATCTACTCACAACGTTTTACGCTGGAGATAGGGTATGTTATTGTTCACACGGGGATGTTTCGGATAACATAATCAGAAGTCAGGCACACTTCTATGGAGTTTTCGAATGATTTGTATCGGAAATGTTCACCTTTAGTGATCTGGTCATGCAGTCGTGTATTTTTATTCATGAAGAAACACCCCCGGAACCAATGTCACAAAATACGCTTCGAATGGCGACACTGATCGCACAACCGGAGCGTCGAACGTAAGTCTAGATATCTGTCCAGATAGCTTAAACTGACTTCATTTCACCACGCTTAACCTATTACATTAAATCAAATTGAAAGTCGCGAAAGTAGTCGGACGTGCGTCACGCTCATTGGGACCCTCGATCCATCGGTAGACATTGCATATGGATATGCATGTCTCGATTATATAATGTCTGCAGTCGCTCTATGAATAACTAATATAGAATGCAAAGCGGGTTTAATGCTTGTGACGATCTTTTTTTGTTAATAAAGTGCGTGTAAATGTTTCTCGCTTTCGTGAGATTCCTTCAGTTCTGCTTTGTAGTTGAGAAAGCGAATGACGTCACGCGATATTTTTATGAATGAAGAAAGTAGTTCCGGTGTGACAGAGGTCAAGGTTATCAAATCAAAACGAATAAAACGAGATCAACCTTGTCAAACTCCGGCGAAGTGGTGACTCAGCACAACACTTTGCTGGCTGGCTGCCGGCCGCATGGAACTCTGGGTAGGAGAGTGCAACCTTGTACAACACACGTGTGACGTACGGATTAAGTATCTTACCACCTGTATCTTCAGCACGTGGGTAATAATACAAATTACGTGACAGGGTAAAGTCACGTGTTTGAAAAGTTTGTGGTACTGTATTCTAAAGGTAGGCCCAGAACTGTCTACTGTGGTTAGCCTCACCGTTTACCGTTACTAAAGGAGCTCGTGCACAAAACTTACCAAAATGGTGGAAGGTGCATTTATAACTTGCTGTGTTGTGTTTTGTCGCTGTGTGGGACAACCGACTACAGTTTGTATCGTGAAAGAGTCTTTAAAGATCTTTACGTTTTACAGAGTAGCGTCCCCTTTATAATGGGAAAAAAAACTCAAGCAGGGAGACCGATGGATTGCCGCGAAATGCAATCATTGACAAAGTTATTTTTGAGCTTTAGGTTATTGTCCTTGGTAATATTTGTTGGATACCGAGTTGGCAAAATACTTCCAAATTTGCGTACTTGTTGGTCGGGACCCAAGAGACGAGCTCTTAGTTTGTATCAGAGTCTGCTGTTGGAGAGATGTCAAATACATGCACAGATTACTGAATCTGCGGAACTTCAGACGACTGTGGATAAATGTCCAGCCAAATTTCAAGACAATGGCGTGGTAGTAGTTGTGTTTAAAACCCACGTTAACATTCCAGTATTAAATCACTAAATCAACGACACAAGAGGAATCTCAGCACTCATAGGTTTATTCACATACCAGAGTGTCTCACATAGAAATTTGACAAGTCATAATAATAAGTAATAAACAATATGGCCGAGAGAGAGATGCGTCGTTTTGCCATGCGTGGAATCGAACCAGGGCCTTTTGCGTGACGAGCTACCGACCTAACCACGAGGCTTCTCAACCGGCCCCTTCATCACAGCTGCTGTAGCATTGCCGAGTATGGCCGGAAACACCCGAATTCCCCCATGATGCATACTACGAATGTCCGGGGAAACATCCCAAATGTGCACCCTGAACAAACACGTGCTTTCCGACGTAAATAAACAAAGTTTGTTCAGAGTACATAAGACATCACGACTATTGGACACCATTGCACTGACGTCATTAGGAATCACGCAAATAATCACGTACACAAATGTATCACATGAACGAGAATAGAATTACTGTAACCAACATATACGGTTATACCGTATTAACAAATACATATTATGAAGTAGTTCCATAAGGTGTTTACTGCTCCGATAACAAATATATCTTGACTACATGCATTAATTGGAGACAGAAGTCATAAACCTGATGGAAATATGTACACATGGGTTTTAAATATCAACGCAAATCTTTCAAAATATGACGATTAACACAAGATGTGATACTCATTCCTACACGCAGATACGGTGGCACAGGTTACCATGGAAACCCAATTTATTAAATACATGTCAATATTTCAAACATATGTCACATGATGATTACATGGAACAAAATAACACACTGGGACCATCAGAGGCAGTCAGACCCTCATACAGCATCTTAACGTTTTAATTGGCCATTGTGTAACTATAATCATGGTGGTTCCACTATCTGGAATGATGATAACCACTCATTGTATGTGCATTTAGCAGCGTCGAAAAAGTGCATCCCCCCCTCCCCCCAAAAAAAACAATAATAAAAAACAACAACAAAACAACAACAACAAAAACAAACAACAACAACAACAAACAAACAAAAGCAAACAGGGTTCTCTCAGTTACGCATAGGAGTATTTAAGTGACCCCTCTCTGATCACCGAGGAGAGTGTCGTCTCACCAGATGGAAGAGTGAAGGAAACGTATGTCATACCATGCAATGTCATCCTTATGTCAGGTTTATGTAAAATAGTCAGAGTCGATATCCTGTTATAATACACGAATTATGGTCAAGCTCAAGGGTATACAACACAGCTGTCAGCTTGCTGTGTCGCTCGGCACCTCTGATCAAGCATTTAGCTCACGCATCACTTGAACAAATCACGAATCACTTGAACAAATCACGCATCACTTGATTAATTCATGCATCACTTGAACAAATCACGCATCACTTGAACAAATCACGCATCACTTGAACAAATCACGCATCACTTGATTAAATCATGCATCACTTGAACAAATCACGCATCACTTGAACAAATCACGCATCACTTGATTAAATCATGCATCACTTGAACAAATCACGCATCACTTGAACAAATCACGCATCACTTGAACAAATCAAGCATCACTTGATTAAATCATGCATCACTTGAACAAATCACGCATCACTTGAACAAATCACGCATCACTTGAACAAATCAAGCATCACTTGATTAAATCATGCATCACTTGAACAAATCACGCATCACTTGAACAAATCACGCATCACTTGATTAAATCATGCATCACTTGAACAAATCACGCATCACTTGAACAAATCACGCATCACTTGATTAAATCATGCATCACTTGAACAAATCACGCATCACTTGATTAAATCATGCATCACTTGAACAAATCACGCATCACTTGAACAAATCACGCATCACTTGAACAAATCAAGCATCACTTGAACAAATCACGCATCACTTGAACAAATCAAGCATCACTTGAACAAATCACGCATCACTTGAACAAATCAAGCATCACTTGAACAAATCACGCATCACTTGAAACTAACCTCTGCTTCATTGTTAACACATGTCCCCTCTACAGCTTTGTCAACTTTGCAGCAGGAAATAAAACCAATATTTATAGTTGACCTAGTTTGGATACACCCACTCACTATGACAATAGACACACAATCAGAGGAACAAAGATTCCATTGTCTTCCCGCGGAAGTAGCATTTTCATCCCCACAAGGTTCATTTGAAACCTTGAATGCTGGTCATAATGTCCGTATGCACGGCCTGCATATAGCTGTAGAGCAAGAGAACGGATTCGACAGCCCACATGGGTACAATGTGTGAAGCCAGTGGCTGCTGTCCCTCTCCATGCTGGTGCTGGATTATTACCAAAGGCGGCGTAAAACTATACTCACTCAATATTGTCATTTTGTATGTGTGAGTGAGTATGCTTTTTGCCGCTTTTAGCAATATTCCAGCAATATCATGGCGGGGGACACCAGAAAAGGGCTTCGCACATTGTACCCATGTCGGGATTCAAACCCCTGCTCTTGGGCGTGACGAGCGAACCGTTTAACCACTAGGCTATCGCCCTTTTGTAAATGTATGTATTATAACCTCATGAATAAAGTTATTTCATGATAACAAATACATTTTTGGGTGAATGTGGTTGCAAACATAGGCAATATGTAAGATGTGGTTATTCTCATAAATGGTACTAGTAAACGAAATAAATGATAAAATTTGAATTGCAGTCTGAATTCAAAATTATTTTTTTCATTGCTATGAATTGAGTCTAACACTGAGTTGAGTTGGATTATAGAAATACAATAACTGGTCCCATGTCGCCTTCATTGATGTCACTGTAAATGTGATCCGACTGACGTGGCTGCCAGGATTGGTCACCCACTTCATCCCGTAGACTGTGTTGACAGGTGCGTGCTTCAACTTCATCTGAACCTTCATCATCCCGACCCATCTTTTCTCTAAAATAGGAATAACATAGGGTGAAAGACTAAATACATTTGATTAATCGTGATTCTAATAAGTGGTTATGATAACGATCGGATAGATACATCAAAACCCAGCATGAAACAGTATTTAAAACAGCACATAAGGTTTCGTTGATGTGAAAGGAACATATGTATATGACATTATTCCCACTAATATAGCACAGCAATATCAGGTTGCACTATCTGCTCAATACGTACATTTTGGTTGAGAGACCTCTGCGGTAGCAGCAGTAGCCGACTGTACTTGCTGCCAGGATGCAGATGACAAACACCACCAGGTACTTCACAGTCTCTGTGTTGATTGGTGAAGAGTCTGAAAGAAATAAACATCTTATTCCAGTGTGACACTATTATTGGAATTTCAGTTGTGCACATCTTACCTGAAGAATTAGATATTTACTGGACATGTTTCAGATCACTACTATCTACAGTTTTATGAATAAATAGACTGTTTTTCCGAACTCTCACAAAATACACAATACCAACCCATGATTATTGCTACTATGTTAGAATGAAGTCAACATGTTTTACAATCCCATATAAACATTTCCCAGTTGAACATTTTACAAGAGCTTGCTGAGCAATTAGAAAGTTATCATATTATCTATACTGAACCGCAAAAGAAACGTCACCATGGATAGATATATCAGAAACCTTACTTGTCCAAACATACTTTGAGACATATTAAGAAGCTGAAACTTCGCAAAACTGATCATCAAGGTTGAAATTAAAGTGTCCAATGTTCTTAAAGTGAAACACAACACAAATATCTGAGAAAACGACATCCCGAGTCAGTATCTCGTGTTTTCGCCATGTGCATTGATGACTGCCGTGCAACATCGATACATGGAATGGATGAGGCGGTCGATGAAGGTCATAGGCACTTGAGTCCACACTCCGAGAAACGCCTGACGCAATTCAGCTGCAGTTGTCGGACGTCATCCAGCCGACTTTGAATCTCGTCCCACAGGTGCTCAATGGGATTTAAATTGGGACCGAGGGCAGGCCACTGCATGGTTCTGATGTCATTCTGCTGGAGGAAGTCTCCTGTTGCGCTTGCAGTGTGGGCACGGGCGTTATCATGCTGAAGCTCGTGGTTGCAGCAACATGCCAAATGGGGTATGACGTGTGGTCTCAAGACTTGATCAATGTACCGAGCTGCTGTGATACCATTGCCTCTCCCTGGACCGAGGTTCTGGAAGTGCACAGGGCCGACCCGCTGTGCAAGACCAATACCACCCCACACCATGATGCTCGGACCACCCCACGAGTCTCAACAACACAAGCATCCGAATAACGTTCCCCATGGCGTATCCAGACTCTCTCTGTGACATCTGCTGTTGAGATACAGTAACGGCTCTCTGTGAGAAGAGGACTCCTCTCCACTGCTGGTGCTGTGTTGCCAACTGAAGACGGTGATGACGTGGTATCAGAATGCTGGGCCTGTGACAGTGGATTTGTCCGCACTGATGTGCCACTGGTGTGTCCCCATGGTCTGTTGAGCAGTTTCGCAGTAGTGACAAAGCGATCTTGAAGATGCTGTGTCACAATCTGACAATCCTGACGTCGGATGGTGACCCTTGGTCTTACACTACGTGGTCGGTCATCTGTAGTGTTGTCGTCTGGTACTTTCGCTGGAGCCTGTGTATGGTACTTATGTGGACTTGAAATGCATTGGCTACTTGCCGGGCGGTTTGTCCAGCTTGCAATCGTCCAAGGGCTTGGTGTCGCTGATTTCTTGTCAATCTTGGTATGTGGTAGCAATTCAATAACGAATGAATGTTGTCCGATCTGGGTGGATTTGTATAGGCCAAGAAATGAGGTAACGCACGTGCATTTCAATTTGCACGGAACTCACGTGCATCGGGTTACCATGGCCGTTGCCGTGATGCGTTTGGGCATTCATTTTTCGGGATAAGGTAATTTTAATATATTTTATTTAAATGACAACTTTTCATGCAATGTTACACGGGATGACGTTTCTTTTGCGATTCAGTATATTATGGCTATTATTAATATTAATGGGTTTGAGTCGTGACACAATGTGATGTGAAGAGGAACATCCAGAACAAATCAATATTTGATGGCGATGTATCAGACCGTTCAGCATGGCTTACCTGTAACACAAGATCCGGCAGGACAACTAGGTGATGAGCCGTTGTTTGTACAGTTATACCCACACATGTAGTGAGTGATATTCTTCACAAGTATACACACACTTGTGTTCATACCAACAATACCATCCAGACATACGTTGCAAGATAGGTTGCAGCTTTCTACCAATAAACTACTGCTGCAACCATTGCAACAAGATCCGTTGTTTAAGGCACAGGTGAGGTTGACGCATTGCAGCAGACACAGTTCACAATCAGACCTGACATGTCCAGGTGCACATCCTTCAATACACGCACCTGCGCGGTTACACCTTTGATGGGTGCAGTTAGAGTTGCATCGCCTTGAACACTTCGGGCCGTACCAGCCATCTACACAACCGTGAACACACTCGCCAGTCTGGCTGTGGCACTCTGGGGTACATGAGTCTCCCTCAGGACATTGTTCATCAGTAGACAGGGAGGGATCAGCTCGGCAGGTGTCACTGCATGCTTCAGTACAGTTGTCTCCATAGAATCCTTGTCTGCATCCCTGTTGGCAGCCACTCTCACATCCACCGACACAGTGCTCACACGAGGATCTACAGTCCAGTCCAGAATATGGAGGCTGACACTCCTCACATGTTCCTGTGATCCTGTTGCAGGACTTACATCTGCTGGAACACGTCCTACAACCTGCTCCGTAGTATGAGTCTTTGCAGCCAGAGAAACAAGTTCCACCCATCTGGCAATACTCCCCATCACATCCACCTGGGCATCTGGTACAGTTGCCATTGTTATTGTAACATGGCCTCTTGCAGCTTGAGCCTTGGAATCCTGGTATGCAGCCATCAGTACAATTCCCAATACCCCTATCAGGAAGCAGGTGACATGTGTTGTTCCTGCAGCTTGTGCTGCAAACATCCCTGCATGTGGCGCCGAAATATCCCCTATGGCACTCTGTGAGGCATAGATGTGTCTGCGCATCACAGTCGGAGCATTGCTGATTACTCGTACAACTAGCACCTGGAAAGGAATATACCTTTATGAATAGATGTAATTTTCCAACTTATGGTTGATCAGTTAAGTTAAAGCAAAACCACACATTGAGCTGCTGTACATTAGAAATTAGTGATGCTGATAATCCCTGTCTGATTAATGGAATGAGGCGACAGTCGTTCGTGTGCAGACGGCTACACCAAGTATTGATGAGAACTGTGTTTCTACTGACATTGGTTGAGGGTTCTGTGGATACAAACTGGTTTAGTTTTTATTGCGCATCACTTTATTTGCTGTAGTAATTTTGACATTGTTTTTGGTGAATATAGCGTCTTTCTTAAAAAATTCAAAGTAGATTTCATTGTTCCAATTCAAACCCTGATGTATCTGGTACATGAATGATGACTCTGGTTGTCAGTTAACATCATTCGAGTCTAGTATCCCGAACGCATTTTGTACTATGCCGCAAGTGTATGTACTCATTCATGAAAATATGGGTGATGCATAATTAAGTTTCAGGTGTATATATGCAATATCAAATGGCGTCGTTATTTAATAACTAATTTAATAATAATGTCAAAATCTTTGAAACGCTGCCAACAAGTGTTTGCGACCCTATGAGTGAGTGAGTGAGTGAGTTGGGTTAAACGCCGCTTTTAACACCATTCCAGTCATATCACGGCGTGTCATCTTAATGTGGGAGGAAAGCCCGAAGTGATGCAGGTCTCAGACGTTTACCACTTCGGTGAAACCCACGAGCACGGGTATGGTGCTGACAAACCTAGAAACATAATTGGGGCGAACCGGGATTTGAACCCACAATCATAGGTTTCTGGCGTGCCCAAGGGACGAATCGCGGCGCCTTAGACGACTGGGCCACCCATGCCCCCGCGACCCCATGAGGATGTCCTACCTTATCCAGCACAATGTATATAGATAACCCATCTGCTTACCTTGTGTGGTGACTAGCATACACGCTGTCACGATCATCCCAAGAGGCCACATTGTAATCCTGAAACTGAAATGAAACAAATTGAAACAGCTGTCAAGTCAAGTCATGTCAAGTTTTGTGGATATAATCTCGACAAACCTTCAGGTTTATGCTCCTTAAGTCATACATATGATGTGATAATTACAAGCTGACTATTCATGTATTTCATCTTAGGTTTTTAAAACAAATAAAACATACAAACATACGTCTTAACGTTATCCAATTAAATCATTATAGTGCTCTAGCACAGCTACTGACATGCATCAACATTCGGCTGCACTGGGAATCCCCGGCCACCTTAAATGTGCAAATATGATCGTTATTTAATCATATAATGGGTAGGTTTCTTGGCAGGATAAAGCCAACAGATACAAACGGTATCCACATGCATCATATACGGAAATATGAAAAGTCAGGTGGGTACTACATTCAGTGTTTACAAACAAATGGGCGTAGACCTAGTCAATCTGCGATGGAGTCAGATTTATCCATCGGGGTTCTGGACAAACTACTGGAATAAACATTATCATTATGAAAACATAGTCTAAGATACTGAAAATCGGTATCTAAATTTAAAGCTTTCAATTGCGAAACAATTTAGCGAGGACACAAGCCTTGCAAGTTCAGTTTCCATATCTGTGCTTGAAGACCTCTGCAGCTTGCGACCTTTCCCCAGTGTATAACCTGTGGCCGAAATATGTCCGAATCGTTACCTTGGTTTAATTTGTCGCATTGTGTACACCTGACTCTGCACTTCGTAACGTCATAACAGGCCAGGCCGAGCAATGTGACTTCGATTATCCATATACTAGCACAAATTGGTAAAGGGCAGTTACTCCAGCTGGCGACCCTATGGGGTGCCGGCGTTGCCGTGAAAGGCAAGTAGAAACACTATGTGTTGGAAATTGTTATTTGCTTCTGTTATTTGCAAAGATTCAAGGATAGTTGTTTGTAATATTGTTTTGTCGCAAGTCTTTGGTAGGCATATAGAAGTTGGAAGAACTTGAATACATGACATTATGGATAGGAACTTATTTTATTCTACATCCATTCCATAAAACATGTTTTGTCTGGCTGTGTTTTATTGTCATGAGGTCATGTGAGACAGACACTAAGTAAGAAAGATAATGAGAAGATCGTGATAAGAAAGATAGCATTGTGAGGTATTTTACACGTACAACTTCTCCGTGGCGTATGCAGTTACCACAGAAGATGTCCATGAATTCCAACCCTCATCAGCAAGATACTAGTGTGGCATACTAAAGGAATGGAGGCAGAGGGGAGGAGTAGTTAGTGTTGTGAGGGAAATCTCCTGCCAGCTCTTAGTTAACCCAGAAGCATTTTAAAGACTCGTGCATTTGTGCTTTTGACATGCTTAGTTTTTTTCCTTTGTCATTGGTTTTGTATCGCGTCTTTAATTTCAATTGAAACTTTGTCAGCGTGAAAATGAAAAAGTAAGCCCGCAACTGATCACTATATACCTTTCCGACCACTGTTCGCCCGACAACAATACACATTACAGCTGCTGTCTTTAACCGCATGTCAGAGGTTTGGGTTCATTATCCACGTCTGACACATCAAACATGGCGTTCATGGCCCTTGTCTGACACATCAAACATAGCGTTCATGCTCCTAGTCTGACACATCACACATGGCGTTCATGGCCCTTGTGTGACACATCACACATGGCGTTCATGGCCCTTGTCTGACACATCAAACATGGCGTTCATGGCCCTTGTCTGACACATCACACATGGCTTTCGTGGTCCACGTCAGACACATCACACATGGCGTGCATGGCCCTTGTCTGACACATCACACATGGCGTTCGTGGTCCACGTCTGACACATCAGACATGGCGTGCATGGCCCTTGTCTGACACATCACACATGGCGTTCGTGGTCCACGTCTGACACATCACACATGGCATTCATGACCCTTGTCTGACACATCACACATGGCGTTCATGGCCCTTGTCTGACACATCACAAATGGCGTTAATGGTCCTAGTCTGACACATCAAACATGGCGTTCATGGCCCTTGTCTGACACATCACACATGGCGTTCGTGGCCCTTGTCTGACACATCATACAGGGCGTTCATGGCCCTTGTCTGACACATCACACATGGCGTTCGTGGTCCACGTCTGACACATCACACATGGCGTTCATGGCCCATGTCTGACACATCAAACATGGCGTTCATGGCCCTTGTCTGACACATCACACATGGCGTTCGTGGTCCACGTCAGACACATCAAGCATGACGTTCATGGCCCTTGTCTGACACATCACACATGGCGTTCGTGGTCCACGTCTGACACATCAAACATTGCGTTCATGGCCCTTGTCTGACACATCACACATGGCGTTCATGGCCCTTGTGTGACACATCACACATGGTGTTCATGGCCCTTGTCTGACACATCACACCATGGCGTTGATGGCCCTTGTCTGACACATCACACATGGCGTTCATGGCCCTTGTCTGACACATCACACATAGCGTTCATGGCCCTTGTTTGACACATCACACATTGCGTTAGTGGTCCATGTCAGACACATCAAGCAGGACGTTCATGGCCCTTGTCTGACACATCCCACAGGGCGTTAATTGTCCACGTCTGACACATCAAATAGGGCGTCCATGGACCACGTCTGACACATCACACAGGGCGTTCATTGTCTGTATGACCCATCACACAGGACGTTCATTGTCTGTATGACCCATCACACAGGACGTTCATTGTCTGTATGACCCATCACACAGGGCGTTCATTGTCTGTATGACCCATCACACAGGACGTTCATTGTCTGTATGACCCATCACACAGGACGTTCATTGTCTGTATGACCCATCACACAGGGCGTTCATTGTCTGTATGACCCATCACACAGGACGTTCATTGTCTGTATGACCCATCACACAGGACGTTCATTGTCTGTATGACCCATCACACAGGACGTTCATTGTCCGTATGACCCATCACACAGGGCGTTCATTGTCTGTATGACCCATCACACAGGACGTTCATTGTCTGTATGACCCATCACACAGGGCGTTCATTGTCTGTATGACCCATCACACAGGGCGTTCATTGTCCGTATGACCCATCAAACAGGACGTTCATTGTCTGTATGACCCATCACACAGGGCGTTCATTGTCCGTATGACCCATCACACAGGACGTTCATTGTCTGTATGACCCATCACACAGGGCGTTCATTATCCGTATGACCCATCACACAGGGCGTTCATTGTCCGTATGACCCATCACAGGGCGTTCATTGTCTGTATGACCCATCACACAGGACGTTCATTGTCTGTATGACCCATCACACAGGGCGTTCATTATCCGTATGACCCATCACACAGGGCGTTCATTGTCCGTATGACCCATCACACAGGACGTTCATTGTCTGTATGACCCATCACACAGGGCGTTCATTATCCGTATGACCCATCACACAGGGCGTTCATTGTCCGTATGACCCATCACACAGGACGTTCATTGTCTGCATGACCCATCACACAGGACGTTCATTGTCTGCATGACCCATCACACAGGACGTTCATTGTCTGCATGACCCATCACACAGGGCGTCCATTGTCTATGTCTAACCCATCACACGGGCGTTCATTGTCTATGTCTAACCCATCACACAGGGCGTCCATTGTCTATGTCTAACCCATCACACGGGCGTTCATTGTCTATGTCTAACCCATCACACAGGGCGTCCATTGTCTATGTCTAACCCATCACACGGGCGTTCATGGTCCACGTCTAAATGGGTCATTAAGAAATCATG